TACACATCAGGGAACGCTCTACGCAAGCTGGCTGGACGCAAGGCTAGTACTTGGAACACTGAGATTAACCCGAAAAACAGATGATAGAATTGCGGCTAGTAGACGTTTTGGTGTGCAAAAGTTTGTACTCGAAATGGGTGCGTGACGTATAGTTGTCTTCAGTGGATGAAGACAGTGGAGAGAGTGAAAGAGAATACGAGCATTAACAGAGTGGCTAAAACAGATAGTTCTCCATCGAATCGGGATTTTCAAGCTACTTTTCGGATTAAGGTTGCATATTTACAAGGCTTGTGATGCCTCAGATTCATTTAGTAAATATCTTCAGAAAAAACACGTCATACACAGTTTTGAAAATCCCCTCCAGATTACTGACAAACCATCCCAATGCGCTTACCAATTAGCTTCATCTCATGTTTGCTAGGTTACTCCGTTTGTAAATTGCTGTACACTTCAGGGAAAAAGTGGATCCAGCGAATTAATTTCCTGTCCGATGTTCTAGTATAAACAGTAATTCGGGTCTTTCCTACGGATGTATCGGAGCTCCAGAGAATCTTTCATTAAGACCGGATCAAACATTATTGCTTATTTAGTAGCTATTATTTTGCTTATCTATGACACGCTGACTTGATTATGTATGCAAAATATTTGTTGACCTATCCTAACTTCTTGCTTAGTAGAAACAGGTAAGTTTTTCCTGATGAGCTAGACTCAAATGAAGGTATACGTTTCCCGAAATGACATTCTTCTCTTACTGTCCCTTCTACTCATGGTTTTTCCTTCAGTGTGATTGCATCTCTGCTTTTCTATAAGAACCATCACTAACGTAAGACAGCTTTTTGGCCGAAAATAGGCCGAATCTCCAGGCTTGTACAATCCGCATTCATAGCACCCACATAAATGGGTTTCTCGTCGGAGATTGGATGTAACAGGCTGTTGCCTATAAAAAAATATGGGTGCAAGTCTTTGACAGAACCACTGCTCATAGGTTGCATCTCAAAATTACGGAAGAACAGTCTCTTCCTATCAGAAAAGTCTGGTAACAATTGGTGGAGTTGTTGTCGGGTAACGTTTGGCTTTTGACACAAAAGTCCAGCAATAGATCTACCGATGGTTACCAAACTTGTCCGAAAGCGATGATTACTCAATCGGTTCCAGGCGTTTTTCACCCAACTGAACACTCTCTTCTGTCCATGTAAACTCAGATTTTATCTATCCAATCTGTTTCAGGCTCAGACCGTGTCCCACAAAAGTGCGCATCTGGAATCTTGTTTCTCTCCATCAACCACGTAGTTAACGAACTAAGGAAAATCGTCAGGAGGGCGGTTCAGAAGGTCTGTCGCCAATGTTATGATATTTTAGAGAGAGGCACAACCTGGAGCGGCGTATCGTGCTTGGTCACTTCGACAGCTCGCTTTTTTGGTGGAACAGTTCACAATCACCAGGGAATTCCACCTCAAAACACAGTTCAAGGAAAACGCAAAATTTTTAAATCTCCTCACACTACCAAAAACAATAAGTAGCTTAGTAGGAAGGATAAAACACATAGCGAACAAACATTTCATCTACCAATCATCAATCGTCGCACCATCTGAACTGGTGGTGCGACTTGCGTGGTTGAAAGATTAGTTGTACTATATCCTGTCTACATATGAGTAAATCACACCAGTGATCAACCAAACGGTTCGATTTTCACAAACTAGCTGGGAGATCGCAGGTTGGTAACTGCTTAGACTTTCGTGAGATGCGGAGTGCTACCGATTCCCAGTAAGTACCTAACGCCGTCTCGGTTTCCAGCATAGACTAGTTATGCTTATAGGAAGAGAATACAAACATTGGAGCCTGTTTTCCCCCCACAATGAGGCGTGGATTTTTTCCAGAAGTGACTGAATGACAGTCCACTACAACATGGACGGTATTATTGGCTTCACTTTAGCATGAACCTGATACAAAGCAACAAAACGATTCTAGAACCAAATCCATAAACTAACAACCCTTCAACTGAATGGAACCGTTCTCGATAACCTTTATCTAACTTTTATTTTGCAACCGAAATAAAGCGCTCCACTGAAGCTTTTGCCATTTGGATTCGTGTTTTCCACTCTCCCGCAAGCCATATATGCAGAATGTTCAGTAGATTGGATGCATTGCCTGCGCATTATAGCCTGTTTTCATATAGCTTATGCATTTCCACAGGCCAGATGCCTAGCTGACGGAAGTATTCTAGCATGAATTCTTCCTAAAATCTCCCCAGTGACTTGCATTCCTCCTGCGTCAATCTCCTGAAAGAATGGTGCTCGACAGGATGGAGGAAACAATGAATGTGAGTGACATGTTCTAGCTTAATTGGACTGCTATTCTTTTGCCAGATAACGGAATCCGGATTCATCGATCGGCTTTATTTTGTAAACATCTGTGACCGTGAAATCGTCAGTATCTTGTATGGTTGATTTATTAATTGGGGGAGGGGTATCTCTCGAGACTAAATCATCGCTTCCCACGACTCCCGAATATGGAAAAGGTGTCCGCTTCTTGTTGTCAAGTTATACGAACCAGCTCCATATGCTCCTTCTTTCTCCCGCCCCAAATACTTCAAAGACATCAATATCGGTTGCCAAAACCAATTTTAAGAACTTTTCCAGCTTCTAGAACGTCTTACGTACCCATACGAACAGCTCTTAACTTTCTAATGGTGTATTTTAATATGGTTCCTACTATCAGTCTCTACGTAATGATCAGTACAACTGTAGACCTTATGTTGTTTAGCGTGGGATTTGACCTCACAGTTAATCTTGATCCAGACGTGCAGAACCTTTCGTCAGTGGCGGCTTTCATTCCATTTTTTAAGGTTTAGTAATCTCTTTGCTCCACTGTACGTTATTCTAATAGCATGCATTCCTTCCTGCCGGTATTCCTTACCCCCGAATTATTCTGACCTCAATGAAAAAGACTTCGTGCTTACCACGCAGTCTCTCAGACTTTAACCACCTAAACAGCATTGTATTGGTGATTTATTTATTTATTTCCAGACACGTTATGGCCTTTATCAGTTTGCCAGAGGGTATAGTGGAATGCTGGCCACTTCCGGCCGAAATTCGTTTTCAAATTTTTCAGTCGTAAACGGCTACGCCGAAGACGGTTTTTGCACTGGACTGTGGTTAGCCGCAGCTGCAAACAACGTAACTTCGGGGTGTTAACTCAGCCTGAAGAGATCAGGAATTTCTAAGGCCAGCAGTAATCCAGAATGGAGGCCCACATTTCTCAGTTCAGTTGAGTAAAACTGAACCGTTGAAAACCACGGTAAATGTCAACGGTTTTCTGGTAGTCAAACTTGTCCGGGACACACGTGGTCACAGATTAGCTATTCTAGCATCCCGGATACCTAGACAACTGGAGCGACTTTTTGTATTTATATTGAGCAGACAAAAATGAATTTAGGTGAAAAAGAATGCAAAACGAAACAAAACAAAGCAATAAGGCGAAACTCGTGCAGAAATAATTCGAGATAAAGATGATAAACTAGGAGACAGCGTGGCACACCAAATCAGAGGCTGTTACTGGCGCAACACGTCAGGCTTATACTCTCAACATACTACATGTCATTTATCTGTTCGAATGCTAAAAAGCTGTCGCATCCGACAGACGCTGTGTGATGAGAGTACGCTCGTTTATCGTTGGAGACATCTACCGGTTGCATAACGCCAGCCGTCAGCAGAAAACTTTGTCTGGTATGTGCTGTTAGTCGTTGGACTGCCTGCTGTTTCACCGTTGCCACTTGTCCACACGCGTAGCTCTCCTTCGGTTCAGTATAATTTCGTTTTCCGGTAAAGGGCATAATGAGCATTCAATATTCCACTAGAAAACAGCAACATTCTTTAAGTGTGGGCCAATTTTTTTGTACATAACTCCATTCTTCCTCTTTTACTTTTCATTCCTAACTTGCCAGTATCCGGAAGGTAAATGCGTGGATTAATTTTTTTCGAACTCAACGACTTCATTTGTTTTGTTAATCCACTACCGCATCTGCCTTAAAGCGGGCATTAAAAATTCACCACCCGGAGGTTTGCCAAGTTTGAAAAAAGCTTTAAACGAATGACAATTGGAAAAGAAACGGTTAGGAGTGTGTGCCATAGCACCCCAACCCCCCAGAATGCACTACTTGATCCAGTCGAATGAAAGGTGGTGGCGCGTTAATGAAGACAAATTTTGTATGGCATCAAGCAGAGGCATCATTCCGCATTACCATTCGAATCAAAACCGTAATTGTAACGTAAATCAGTAGACCTCGAACTCTAGAATATTTCATCAGTGTTGTCAACTGATTGGCTATTGACCAATCAGAGATAAAAATTCTGCGGGCTCCGATGTCGACAGTCATCAAAGAACAATGGTTTAACTCGTCTGGTGTGAGCGACTGAATTAGAAATGCACTCGCAAAAAGAAGCGATACTCTCAAAGAGGTACTGCTGATCTGACTACAGTTCTGTCTTAGATGCGTACTCGTAATTTCCATCCTGAATACTCGCGCCACTCCTACCCCTACCGGTAAAGTCACATGTTTCCAGTGGAATTTTGAATTATATAGGGCACTTAGTGAGACATCTGTGGTCACAATTTCTGTGAGACGTTTTTGGTAGTCGATACAGTGCATAGCGATCGTGTGAGTAGGCTGGATATGTTCTCCAGTAAGCTAAAGATAAAATAAGCTGCAAAAGTTTTGAGACCATTGTCTTAAATCAACAAAAGTTTCCGTTCAACTTGGAAGGCCTAAGGCTGTGCTGCACGAAGATATCAAAAGATTTGATAAATCCATTAACGGTAGTTATAGCATTTTGGTTACTATTTCCAGCCCCGTTCGACTCCAGGCAAAAAAAAGATTTGTGGTTAAAACAGGAGCAAGAAAAAAGTTGACCACTTCAGTTACAGATTATACTGAGCATTTTAACAACAAATGCGTCACACTTATGGAATAAGTCAGCGAAAATCCAAGCACAAGGACTTACTGCACACCTGTACGACCCTTGTCGTCCTGTCCGCGAACAAGCGATCCAGGTTTTTTACCAGATGTAAAAATGACCGACATTAGAAGAGGAAAATGTGACGCGAAAAACCGAAGTGGATGAGAAGGTTTCTGAATGTGAACGGCACAGAATTCGGTGTCCAGGGTGTTTTTCACCCGGGTCTTCTATCTGCTCACAAACACACAAATGAGTGAGTAGATTTGTCCAGTATTTTTCCGAAATTTCTTGAGGCGCAAACTCCTACCAGAAACCATGGTGAGGAGGAAGAACAATGGCCTAGCACTTGTGTTATGTAGCCTAACGAAATTGTTTATTGGTTATTAAGAACCATGTGGTTGAGCCGTTCGTGACAAACAAGTATCAGATGTGGATATTTGCTTGTATACGTGTGTGTGTGTTAGTGTGTACACGCATGCATGTATCTTTTTGAGTGTCTGTAGGCGCAGCAAGCTCTGCATCAGCTCATGGTTAGGTAGTGTGGATGTAAGTTTGGTTGAAGGAACGACCATAAACTGGCCTTCTATCCTCGATGATCAGCCGATTGTCACGCATTCACAGAGGTGGGCCTTAACACAAAAGTGCAGCTTGTTAGTCTGCAAAGTCCAATCCACAAGTCGCAGCTCAAAAGTTGAATTTTTTGGGTAAATCCGTATTCTCATTCCAACTTGGTCCAAAGCCGTAAACTCACTTAATGCTAGTCACCGGCCTAACCCTCCCTTCTCCAGACAGAATCTGCTTTGGCACTGTTAAGCCTCTGAATTTATCCTTATTGTTCTCAACATATAATTCCCATAACAGAATTCCAATTTTTGTAGTTGTATGATAAGGCGGAGAGCTTTGCAGAAATGACTTCAAGGTAATTGCTTTATTACCACTTATAGTGCCTTTAAACTATCCCGGCATTCCACGTCACTGCCGAAGGAGGAGGCAGTTGTCGATTGACTGAGTTTACTAGTTTGTAGTTTCATACTTCGCCGCTAAGTCACAGACTGTCCGCCTCTCAGTCGTTTCCACTCAACACGAGGCTAGTAAAATCTCTGCGGTGTAGACAGTCGTTTGACATGCAAAGTACATACATTAACCAGCGCAACTTGTGAGCTGTGAGAATCTTACCCATCGAGCGATAGTTCCTTCTTCCTAAAGCCACCTCGCCACCTCAATATCGATAACTTTCTATCGATAGCGATCTCCGTCAAAGGTTTGGAGACACTGCTCTTTATGATCTGAGAGTTTTTGTACACCCCATCAGAGTAAAATTACTTTTCCCGATCCATAATATGTGTTAGCCAGTGACTTTGGTTCAGGAGACTAACCGTCTCCCTCTATAGACAAGGATGCCCCGGCGGTATCCACGTCCACACACAACCATGAATATGTAGACATGGGAGAGCAGTGTTCAGCTAATTTTGTCGTCTGCATTATTTTTTCGGCGGCAGGTCTTCGGATGTATCACGCACGCGTACGTGTGCTGCACCTTGAGTAATAAGCATTTGAACTTTTCAACCTAAAATAAGGCGTAAATTAGAACAGAAGGGGCGCTTAGATTAATTGTGGTCTACACGCAGTGCACTTGTCATCGAATCAATGACATGAAAAAAACATCCGTAATTTGTGTTCTATAGAACGTGAATGGGAAACCAGCCAAACTTTGGTATGTCGGCCGTAGAAATTCAAGCGTTTTTGCTAACTTTGCGAGGTGCGGAACCGCGGATACTCGCTGGAAGCAAAATCCTATTCATCAAACAAGTCATGCAATGTTTTGAACTCCCCAAAATTTTCTGAAAACAAAATTCCTGAAGTCTGTTCGGGGTTAAGTATATTAAAAATAGAAACACACGTTACATTCGCCTAGCAATCTCTTAATATAAATATGGGACAAATGTCAAGCTTGTTGCAACGTAAACGGGCATAAAGTTATTTTGAATACCGGGGTACAAGAAAATCATTGGGAATGAGAACGTTTTTCTGAAGGTAGCTCAGTTCCGGTGTTCTGGATTGCACCCTCGTAGTAATTGGGCTCGCTGATACATGTCACGGAACGTTCGCAAGTCGGCGAAAAGCTGGTCCGCTGTGTATTTTGATCGATCCAAAGCAAGATACACGGCGACCTGCGGTAGATTTGTCAAAAGAAGTTTGCGAGACAATGAAGTATACAAAAACGTCATGATAAAACTTTGCTGAGTTTAATAACGAACATATAAAGTGTTGAACATCTTTGTTAATTCCTTTTCATAGGACTATCGACATGTGGTGAAGTTGTATGCTCCATCAAATCTAAAGGAGGGCAGTTCTTATGGTTATGTCAAACAGGCCAGATTTTTCAGGCTCCCAAAATTATACAAAATGTGTGCTCCACTTCGTCCGATTGTGGATTAGCACGTACAAATTATTCACACATCGTTAGGAAATACTAACGCTACTCCAAAGTAATGTGTTGAGTCGGACCACAAGTCTGTAAGATATCGCTAAGGGACCTACCCAGTATCTTTTTTGACGATGAAATCCTTGTAAGTTATGGTTTTGTGCTTTACACTGATGTGCCCACAGCTTAAGCCTACATAAGAAACCTCTAAGAGTGAAGGAGATTAACAGAACCGTCAACAATTTACCCGCTTTTCCGGCTGGGGCTAAGCTGATTTTGGCACAGCTTGAATCACAGACACCAAGCATATTTGACCACTCTCGTGGCATACGATGATGATATATTTGTTATCTTAAAGTCAAAGTGTAAATCAGTTCTTATCATGTCTCATGTACTTGTGATTTTTAATGGGCTCCACTGTAGAACATGAGGCGCCTAACTAAACGATCCGTTTTCTTGATTATAAGGCCTCTTGGAACCAGGGTTCCCTTGAAACCACAGTTCATCACAGACCAACCCAATCATACGGCTACCTATGGCTCAACCCTGATTACTCATTGAGTACGAAGAGAGTGATAATTCGCACAATAATCCACCAAGCGAGTAAGATATATGGTGATCTGCCTTAATCTTAAAGCGAGATTACTCAAATGAAGCATTGTGAAACAGTGGGTACGCAACAGGTTTAATCCACTCAGCTTTCAGTAACCCAATCCAGGTGCATCAACCAGACCGAAGTTCTAATCAATTGATATGATGCGGATTCCATATCGATGCCACACACTGGGCAAACAAACAGGGGATTAACGCTTTATATTAACGAATGCAAACGACACACTTGACCCGCTCGAAGAAATGCAGGGGAACTGAACGAACCGGATTGTGTCTCATCTATAGTACCTCATGCACTAGCTAAGGACAACTCGAATGCATTGCTACAAAATCTCGACGTACATGATCAGAGCTGCTGTACCGGAACAGTTGCTGTTCGCATGACAACTTCGTACGTTGACAGGTCAGATGGTGTTTATCTGCCTGCCACTTAGTCCGGCGACGCAAGCACGGCAGATTCCTTATGATGCCAGAATCCTGCCCCAAGAAAACTTGTGAACAGTGTGACACATACGCCCGCACACCAATGGTGGAGGAAACAATTTTCACGCCAATCACACAAGGTAAGATGTTATATTGACCAGTCTTTGGCAAACCATATTGGTAAAGTCTTAAATTCGGTCATTTGTTGCTTGACAAATGCCGCTCTCGTCGGTCAAGAAGACGAGTGGTTGCAGTCAGTGTATCTGCCGTTAGTCAATAACTTCGGTATGAATGCATTAGCACTTCAAAGGATTCGGAATAACAGTCGGACAAGTCTCAGTTTTAAGAAAAAAAAGTTCTTCGGACCAAGTGAGTAGGTAACAAGATTGGTCAAGTTTTACGCAGAAGACTCAACCAGCAAAAACGTTCTACTGGCAGGCGAAATGATTAATAGGTGCCGTCTGATAGGTTTTACCTGCCAGTGTAGGCTAACAGATGTTATGACAGATGAGCTCCTAGGAAATTTACATGAATTTGGCCAGAGTAGGGGGCGAAAAATCCCGGTTCACAGAGATTCACTATGTGGGAATTGGATAAACTCATGACGGCTTTGCCTTGATCAAGTCTTATAGGAGCTCAGGCACCGTGTATCACACCTGTGAATAAAAGCAATCGTTGGAAGCTGGTGCGAATACGACTGTACGGGCCAAATGACCAAAGCAATTTTCGCGACGCTTCCAAAAGAAGCGTGTCGGCACAGAAGCACTATTCAACCTAATCAGTGTAGGTGCACTTACTGAAAATCATATAAAGGCCCACTAGTAATAAATACGTATGACGTTTTGAACTTTTTAGCCTGCTAACACACTTGAGTAATGAAACGAGAAACCTATAACATATCATGGAAACCCTCTGTTCTGTAGACTAGAACTCCTTTTTTGATGGAAAAACAGCTTGCCATCGTCGGGATTAAAACAAATTGCTTTGAAAATGCATCTGACGATGCTTGGTAACAGGTAGAAAAAAATAGCTGAGGTTCCGTCGAGAATTCCTGGTTACGTAGCATCTTATTGTGTTGGGATTGATGTAAGTCACATCTCAAGGACAAAAAACCGGAAACTCGAGAATATCTAAACGGAGACAAATGTCAATTAAAGATACAAGAATCCTATGCAATCACATTGGTAAACGTCTTGAAGTGAAATCCACACAGAGATCCACATTTGACCAATGGATGAGGGTCGGAGACACTCACTTTAGTCCGTTTCGTTTACCATAAACCGTGAGTCAAAGTACGTTTGTTCAAGCAGTAACACTTTCTTTGACCTAATGATAACAGGAGAATGGCGAAGGACAGCTAACGACCGGGTACAATGGGCATGATGTCGAGTCGTACAGTTTTCGGAGCTGCCACTATTTGGAACGAATATCTCTGGTGAATTTTCACCATTGGTCGCAAGGATTGCCCTGCGAGTGGAGCCGGAAATTGGTGTGCTCTGTTGCGCAGTCCCCATCCGGGAATACCCAAACTGTGCTCCTATACTTAGTGAACAAATCATAGACCGACCACATTTAGGTGCCTTAATCGAACGACAAGTGTGATCCTAGATGGACCATCCACGGTCACATGCATATTACGTACACAGGTCGCACGAGTGCCAGGAAGTCAGAAAGCAGATTAACGGAACCAGCAGTATTATTGCCGGAAATGCAAATCAGTAAATGGAAAATCATACCTGTTTTGCAATAGGTCGACGCGCACACGTAACACGAATGGCGCACCTCACTGCTACATATGTCAGTACCTGCAGTTCCACCCGACATACACTTATTTAAGGCTGACATGTATATCGTATCCGCGGCTGAGATTGCCATACTTGGTCTGAGAGACAGGACACTAGCGGAGAATCAACAGATTCACCGGGTTTGGGGACAAATGGTTTCGATTAGTTTAGTTTTGTATGGTTACTATATTCTTCCTGTGAGCTCCGGAATTTTCTTCCCGTTGGGGCAATTGGCCGGATTAAGACGGACCGAATTCCGGGTTGCATTGAAAATATTTCACCCAGACTTTGGTTCTGAGTAACGCGAATATTACATTCTTTCCCGCCAATTCGCTCGATCCTATTCCCTCTAGTTATACACCTGATGAGAATATCACTAATTATGGCTTGTCGTTGATGACCTTGTCGTTCTTCTGGTCTGGAGTCATCGAATAGCAAGCAGACTTGCTGCAAGTGTGCAGGTTAAAAAACTTTCAACGAGCATCCTTCTTAGAGCATTTTAATAATCGGACAAAGCTTTCCATTTACCGCTATCTGAAAGACGAGAACCGCATGACTACAAGGTTAGGAATGTGAGAATTGACTTATATCACAACGAGTGCAAACAGGGTCCGGTGACAGCGTTGTATAGTGTGATACAGGATTGTGAACAACTGTTAGTGAAACTAAGAGTTTTGGCCCCAAAGAACTACACGATTTTCCAGTTGAGTCATGTGTTGCCAATCCTTTCGTGACAATAAGCTGGGGCGGATTTGGTGTACTGCAGTACTGCAGTTGCCCGTCTTTTTGAATAGCAGATTGCGGTAATAATTCCAGCCATACGTAAGCATGGGACCACGGATTGTTCTCAGTTGTACGTCTCTTCTAAGTAGCGAACAGCGATTTGCTTATGCTGTTTTACTTCAGGTAGTGCCCCGTTAAATGCATGCGGCCGTATTAAGAAGCGCAGAATCTTATCTTACGGAACCATTCAATATTCCGTAAGGCTGCTGTTGCACTGAACGGTCTACGCTCTGTCGTTAGGAGGCCGAAAGCTTCATGGTCTTATAAGTGAGTACAATTTACACTGGCGTCACTCCCGTTCGGCCACCAGTCCTTCTGTTCTGGAGCAATCTTTGGGCCGTTCCACACCAAATCGTTGCAGCACTGTACTTAACTTTAGTGTTAGTTGGAGACTATGGTCGGTACATGCCTTTAATTGTCGGAATTCGAAATCTGAAAATGTGACATGCGAGGTGAGCATATGTTGTGTGATCCTTGGGTGCACGCTGAATACATCTAGGTTACCACATGAGAATAGCTGAAAACTCTTAGGCTCTGTTAAACAAAAGGCTTTTTGCAACGGCAGGCATAAAAACTGTGCAAATTTGTCTTTAACGAGAATGTTGCAAGAATGTTGCAACGGGTTATCTTATTCGGAACGACCAAACCCTCCTGTGATTTTCACATTTTTACAATACACGCGATGTATGTAGCTACCACTCACGGAGGAGATGCTTTAAATTTCAAGCTCAGTAAAATTAAAATAATACTGGCTGTCGTATCCGATAAGTGTAAGCGCTTCTGCCTCGAGAATTGGGTGCCGGAATTCAGGTGCTCTGTATCGGTCTAATTATTATCAACAGCATTTCAGCCTGTCGTTCCCATGCAATTCACCGAACAGATGTTGGCGCTGAAAAACACTAGGGAAACGGACGCCGGTCATCTAATTGCGCAAATAACACCTGTATTGCTCTTAATAGCAAGCTCATTCATATCCTACCAAACAAAAGCATACCTACAAAAGCCCTCACTATGAACTTCATGTTTTCGTGCTTTCACACTCATTCATATGGATGTAATGTCATCGGGGACATTTAGTTTCTCATCGAAAACTGACTTCTGATTTCATTCAGTGAGTGGATCCAGGCGCTGTTGAAAGTGTGTTGGAAGTCGTCAACAAGACTATCTACGTGATCTATAAAGATAGTTTGAAATTTCTAAAACCCACTCTTCAGGCTACTCCGATATTATTAAACGTTATCATTATCATCATCATCGACATCAATGTTGAACACTAGTGAGTAATCGTAATTTATATAAAATCGCTACTATGAAGAGTAAAACAAAAACACATTACGAGAGTGACTAGAAATATTCCAAGGTGCCTACACCTCCAGATACTCATTCGGAGGTTCTGGATTGCTACCATACTTACTGAATCTTCAAACATGCACCGTGGAACGAGCGAACCAAATCCTGATAGCTGACCTGCACTGACAGTATCCAGACTTCGTAGTAGCCACCATAACCTTCTACCAAAGATTCATTACCACGTTTTGCTATACCTCGGGGTGGGGTCACAAGATACAGGCCTCTTTTTGACAAGCGATGATTGGATGAATTACCAAATCATTGCAGCTCTGTGCTGGACATATATTGCAATCGAAGTCTTTGCTGCGAAACAGAAAACCCCACTTTATATTTGTTTCTTTGCGGATTCTCTGGAAGAGCACACCAGCTTTTGTCTTTAGACAGTCACATGAGGTTTGAATGCAACTCAGTTCTGTTGCTCGTAGAAAACATATCTCACAACCATGGAACAAAACAGTTCGTACGATCACATGGTAGACAACATCCGGGGATGTCGCTTTATTGTCGTGCATGTCTTAAATTATTAAACGTGAACCAAAGCATGAAAATTCTCTTAATGATTTGATCTGTCACAGCCATTTAGAATACGAATATTTGAAAGACCCATAGTTTTTGGTTAGTTCGCTGGGTTAGGTAAGCTTGCGGCAAAAGTTTCATCACCAACCGACTTGACATCATCAGCGCATCTTTACGAAGTGGAGCCTGATAGTTCGCATATCCACTACCGCACCACTAGTTCAGCGAAGAGCAAACAAATATCTAAGCCAACTAAGTTATTGACGTTCGCCTCAGTACGAGATCACATGTTCATCTGCACTTTGCCACTCATGATGACTGGACACCAGTCAAGTTCACAATGGTGTATGATTCTTCATTCTTACAAGGAAACTTTTGAAAATCTTGGCGGGTTAGCATTGCGGTAGTTTTCACGGATAATCGGCATCGATATGCTGGTCAGACCAACTATTCTGCCGCGGGAATTAAAGTCCCCTAGTTCTGATTCCGAGTTGGGAGATATTAGTAAAGCCGTGGCACTGCAGAAGATCCAGGAGTTACTGGTTGCGTTAGACTCCTCACATAAACTCAAAGCAATCAGTTGATAAACTGACATTCGTGAGCATAATCAGCGGTGAGACATTTCGTCAGAAAACTAGCTGGAATGATTCCCGGGATCTTCAGAGTAGTATTTGTCAAGTGTTCACCAGTGACTTCCTCAGGTACTGAAACTGTTGGTTGAATTAGTGGGATGTCATACAATCAGCTAGCATCACGACTCCGTCGTCATAATTGATCTCTGAATCAAACTAGGAATGTCCAAATAGGAATCTTTAGAGTTTATGCAATTATCACAAGACCAGCGCACATGATTCATGAACTGAAGGAAAACTAAAAAGAGTCATAAGGTGTCTTTAAAGTCGAATGCTTGTCATGTGTGATCAACTCGGGATTCAATAAGAGTGAGCCTCAATGCGTACCTAGGTAATGCTGAAAATGTGAATTAATGAACTCATTTGGTGGAAATAAGCACTATCCTGAGGTGAATCAATCCATGCATCTTAACCTATGTGTTCTCAACTGGGAAACTGTTGCAAGTGAACGGACTATGCTCAAATTGTCGTCGGATGTCGGGAAAAGTGTTTTCCAAGGGATACCTCTTTGCAACTATTCCGCGGCATACAAACATACCATCTGCCGCGTTCCTACTTGAGTTATGGTCTTTCAAAACCTTTCTGTCAGGCGGAGCGTTCCACTTTATGCTAAGTTTGCATTTATATTCCGTTAAAACAGAGTAGCGTCACTAGAAATTGCTAGATGTATCCGAAAACCAGAAATTTTGCTGGACAAACATGAAGTGCGGTTCTGAGCTAAGCTTACCATTAACCACTTTAAATGACCATTGCTATATTAATTCCCGAATGAGCGCAAAACTTCGCTTACGTGGAATATTGTGTTCAAGTGGCAACAACCAGGCTAATTTGGGGTTGGCTCTGTCAGATGAGGCTTCAGAAGGGCGAAATAACTATGGGCTGCCAGAAAACTACAGGAAGCCTCATGTTGTTGATCGCTTGAATCTTATTCAAAGTGGGATCTGTGGTTGCCTTTTTGAATCGCAATAAGTTGAACAACATCTTACGGAAGATTCAAGCAATATCCGTCTGAGCAAAGCTAATCTACAAGTGCTTGAATCTGTAACTCTGTTCACGTTTTTGAAGAGTTCCAACAAACTATTTGAATTTTCACAAATATAAATGGTGAGGTTAATGAATAATGATTGTCGTTTATTCAGCGTATCACGCTTGAGTGTTTTTTTCTCAGACACGTCAACATTCTAAGTACATTGGAATACGCACCCACAATTTGACAAAACAAGATATTTCAGACTGGGGACTTCATTTGCCATGTGTTCAACTGCAATTTACCACACATTCTTCTTCTGTCAGATGTGGGCAAAACAAAAACACCAGCATAGAAATTCAGTCCTTTTTAAAACGCTTTCAGGCAAAACGAGAATCATTCTTCCGTTTTGGAGTAAGTGAACCACATGGATATTAGATGCAATATCCGAAAAAACACGATCGAAATAGAGATATAATTAAACTGACCTTTGAGAACCGCTCACTAAATGCCTGGTGCAGTTGGTTTAATCTGCCCTGTTCTTGTGTTGCGTGGTCCAAGAATACACTCATGCGTTTTCTGAAGATAAAATTTCCGCGCAATGTATTCGCAACGTCTGTCTGAAAAGATGTGTTTGTTTGTCCAAGTTGATCGGACGTTTCGATAGTACCACCAACGCCACGTAAGTCGATCTCCAGTCGGGCGATATCTCGCCGGATACCCACTAAATTTTCCTCAACCAGCTTTGCGTTGTAAAGCTTCTGAGCAGAATCAAGAGAGGCGATCTCTTTTGGCCACTGGTGCACTGATTTGCCGAAGCTAAGTAAAGTGAAGAAAATAAAGATAAATATTAGCAATAGGATAGAGCTGCAGTAACCAAGACACATCGTTTCTTTTTGCTACAGTGAGAAGTCGTAGTGGAAAGGAGGTAGGCTCGGTAACACCACTTTCGGAGTTTATCACCAGTGCATACCGGATAAGGGGCTCAGGCTTTAGCATTATGATTACTTTTTTCAACCCATGTGATAAAAACTCATTAAACTGGTCGACTGACTAGTTTGTTTGGATTTTCAATTCAGTTAGCATCGCTTGGAAATGGAGTCCAGAATGTGTGGCAGGAAAGAGAGCCGCTCAGGGTCTGAATACAGATTCCATAAATCTCATGAGTGTTTATTAAAGGTTTTACATTTATTTTATTTTATTTATTTATTTTATATTTCAGATAATATGCCGGTTAGGATCCATTACTGTGAACAACATTAAGCCTGGAGCGGTGCATAGTTTGCAGGGCAAACTGCTTTGGTCCGTTTTCCGATTTATCAACACATAAAAGTGTACAATACAAACTTTGTGAAAAAATTCATCCTAATCAACGAATACAAACCCACGTCTGGGACACATTTAACCCTTCTGCGCGTAACGGGTAGCACATCGAAAAAATCAGAAAAATATTTTAGCGCTAGGAGAGTACGAAATAATACCAGTAGTACAAATGAGTGCCTCCTATCATCAATCGGAGCACTTATGAACACGGATACACTCCTTGTATTCAATGTTTACCAGTCACACAGGTGTCGATTCGCCATGAAACTTCACAACAGACCCTTCTAGAGGTTTCACATAAGTGTCCTACACAGGAATGTCGTCAGAAACCATTGGTTTAAGGCCATAAAGCGCCCGTAATTTGCTCAGAAAAAGTCCGAAAATGAAATCAGGGAGCATAAGGGAGATGAAATGGCCCAAGGATTAACCTAGCACACTCAGACAATCCGTGTAGAAACTGTGAGTAGGCGCATCGAAGAGTGATCCCGAGAAATCCGGAGCTACCCAGTGGCGAATGAGTTTCACCGAAGGTTTTCAGGATTTTCGTTAGTGATTGTGTTGATTGGGCACATAAAATACCACTCAGTTTGATGTACAATGATCTCATATACACAGAACAAGGACCATTCAGTGTACTTGAGAATGGTAAGCCGCTACTGAAATCCATATCACTCCTCCCCATCCACTCCCCTCGCAACCCAGGTCCATGCAATAAGGAGTAGTTTGCACGTGTATCAAGCCCTCCAGAATGTGAAAACCTGGCTGGTGGCCACGCATATATAAGCAGCGTGGGTTGCTTTTACACCCATTCATTGGTTATTGATCAGGTGGCCGTGGATCTGTTTGCCAGGCTTGGCAATTAGATTGCGTAAGGATATCCAGTCAGTATGTGACGAAACGCTTACAAGCTATTTGCCAAGCTCGGTGAACAGATAAATATCCAGATGAACAACCACCAATGAACGCACTCGAAGTATAAATATTCCAGTTCCTCAACACTTAGTCGTTGTTCTAGCTGCTATTGTGATTAAGCTTTGAGGTAAAAAACATTTGATTTATACTTGTCTAACAGCTATGAATGTCTGGTGGTATCAATGACCTCGTTATGTAGTACGCTTGCGGTGTAGTAAAGTTTCGGGGCCTAACTTCGGTTTCATGTAATATCCAGTAATTTTCTGATGATAATAATGTATGTTTCAGCCACCAGTTCTGATGGATTCGTCTGAATGACGCAATTCCCGGTTGAAATTTGATTACTGATACCAGCTTATGGTGCACAATGCGATGTTTTGGATATTGGCTTGATAGACTATTGGATCATTAGTTAGATTCGACAGAAATTCAAGAACATCTATCCGCTTACACGTAGAGTTAAAATGGTCAATCTAAGAGGAACAATCCAAGTCGGTTCACTAAGGTTGCTGTTGTCGCATTCGATCGCCTAATGTTGAAGTCCAGTTTTTGCATCCACAAACCCGTGACTCTCAGTGTTGACCTTAAACTGGGTACAGGTGGCTGCCTCATGTACACTAAAAGGCTAATTCACCAGTCGCTTGGGCCAGATCTCAACCCATGAAGCCAATACAACAGCCAAGCCCATAGGGACGGTGGCAGCATGAAACTCAGGTCAACAACAGTTACTGACAAAAGCATCACAAGATCGATCCTGTTAAGCCGATTGTTGATGGGCAACAGAAGCAAGAATAGTCGCAAAGCTGAGTTTTCCAGGAACGATATGCAATTTGCGTCTGATTGGGAGGACCATTGGCAGAGGATAAGCCATAATAACAAAGCACTGGTGTACTGGTATTCGCAAAAGTACCGTCATATCTTCCGGAGAGATAATAGCCTGTGTGGTGACAAAAATTGTACTACACGTGAAAACGAAATTTTTCCAAAAAGATTAACTTAGCCGGAGATTTCAGCTTGTTATGAAGATTATGGTGGAGAAAAAGTTTGTTCTGCTGATAGGCAGGACAAAACACTGAATGGCTGCATCACGTGGAATGACCAAAGATTTAAAAATATGCAACCTTTCGAGTTAATCCGATGGTACCTGCGCTTCATTCGTGTTAAACAAAACAAACCCACGCGGAATCACAAGAGTGCAAATCACGGAGGCTTACAACAGTTTTTACGATTTTGATAACAGGCTGACCTCTATTCTACACTAATCTAAGTTGTCGCAGTCTTTTTAATTTTGACATGGTGCCTTACTGTCTGGCACCTAGGCTCGTCATAGCGCATTCTGAATCTTGCCAGAAGCTGACCATGATTCATGGTACATAGTATCTGCAGCTGTATGGAAGTGCACTTACCATACTCGCAGCTTGAATAATTATAAGTTTCTTAAACTTTCGCGAAGTCTCAGGTCTACCTGGGCCAAGCGACAATTACAAGATGCTTTTTGTAGGATTTTGACCTTAGAGTATGACGTTTTCTGACAAAAACTGTTTGTTCTAATCCCGCCGAAGATATTTGGACACCCAAACATTCGAGATTGTCAGATGGACGTCTCAGTAGCCTTGTTTTATGCGTGAACATCAGATTGTACGCAAATGATGGAATAAACACACTTGCAAATCCGACAGAAAACCTGAAGACTACGCCACCTGATTAGGTCAATGAGGGTAAAACTTGTAGAAAGCTGTCGAAGGTTTTTCAGCAAACCGATAAATAGTGTGGTGTCATGCGAAAAGGTGGTTGGATAAAGTGAATATCCGTGTACTTCTAGTCATCTCCAAATATTAACCTCATCTTTGTTGAGCAGATTAATTCCGTTGAAGGTATTTGCCATGTGGAAACACTACTGTCAAAAAAGGAATGGTATTTATTTTGTGAGCTGGAGATGGCTCAGCTGATGAGAGGGTCTGTGGTTCGAACCTAACCTTTGAATCTCGGTTGCTCCTGTCTAGGCTTGGGCTACCTGGTAGAATCTCAGGTTTCGTGGTACCTTCAGGAGAGGTGGCAGATAGAAACCGAAAGGCTGTTACAGCTCGACGATTATTATTTTGTCATTATCGATTTCGCGACAATGGCAACCAAATCAAAACAATTTGTACAGACGGACCCATTCCTAACACTTTTTTTTATCAATCAAAGCCATGGTACACCTCATAGAATCAAGTCTGGACGAAGGATACTCTCAACCTAAATGACTGAGTTTCCATCTCCCGGCATATACCACGCTTTAGACCAGCATATTTATCGTAATACAAATCAATTTGGGACTAATCCATTCCGATGCATTTTTGTTAGCTGGGGTAACAGCCTATGGGGTGTGGTTAGACCCTCTAACAAAACGACTAAAGCAAATGTGTTTGTCTGATGATGATCGAATTCGAGGCTCATCTGTCAAGAATAACAAGACTAACTGCTGTCAAAAAAACCACACCTTATGTGAGACTCGCTCAAAACAAATGTGTACATGATCCACTTACTTTACTTCCATGAGTTCCACGACATAGTCTATCAATGATCGCGTATTTGAGCTGTCTTTTGTATCTATAAGCCGGACAAGGTTTCTGACCTGAAAGCCGACGAGCGGTCGTCGGTTTGGGGCACATTCTGGTGACAGTCTCTCATAGCCAGCAGAATTCAATGCGTTCACTAGAGCCAAAGCACATGACAGAAGTCGGGGTATTGATATGGAATTTCGGATTTCAGCCAAGCAGTCACAAGCGGTGTGAAGTGCAGCCTTAACTTGTTCTGCTGTGGAGTCAAAATTTAACAACATTTTCATCGCATGGAGATGAGCTGGTAGTCGGTGCCGAAGTGGAGCGAGAAAGTAGATCAGCTGGTCTGACTCAATAAGGTTCTACAAATTAAGGGAACATAAGAATAATACAATTCGTTCCCGGTGAGAAGAGAGTTACCTTGGAGTTGTATTCAACAGGTGTGTTGATCTCACTGTTATTTGGTCTGCTTTTTTCAAAACAATTGATGTAACTTATTGTCAAAAATGAGTGAGCCCGTGCTCACATCTATTTTACCTCAGCTGGCCGTGAGACGTTTGTTGAAACACCAAGTGGCTGAATTTTTTCTGGCACCGCTACCGTCAAGTCAAACGCGTGACTGATATGGAAACAATTCACTGCTGCTTGCACAGTTCATACTATCGCGTTTGCCTGTTGCCACGCTCTGAGGGTGGCACTAAGCTAATTTGCCTGGAGATACAGTAAAACTCTACCAGATGTCTTCCTGAAAAAAAAACACTCAGATTTTTATACAAATTCATTTGAATGCATGTCATACAGCTTTTGAATCAGACAATGGAATTCTCCGGGATAAAATAAAGCTCGTAAAGCTAGGTACAACGTGTTTCAGGTAACCGAATCATAAGTCGGATAGTATGTAATTTTCCACTAAATTGTTTTAATAAAGAAATAGAGGGACCCTAAGATAGCCAAAACAATCTCAGTATGGCTCCCTTCGGTCACTCACCGTGTATAAATTCTAATGAGGATTTAAGTGAACGATGAGCATCAGTGTAAATGTTTACTAGAAATGTGATGAAACGCGTCAGCTGTATGTCACACAAAGAAATAAAATAAGCAGAACCGAATTCTGACCGCATTTCAATTACTCGCTAAGTGAGTGTAATCAGCACGATGAGTGTTCAGAAGGCATAAAGTTGACAATTCTGTTGCCATAGACTAGAATGAATACGAATCGATCGAAACCAAACGCTCCAACCATAACTGTCATTAGATAATCTGGTTTGGCAACAAAATTGTTTGCACCGTTAGAGCCAGGACTGTACTCGAGGCACAGTGCTTATTTCGGGAACCAAATGCCATATAGCACAATACTGGTCAGGATTGGGTTATCCAGGGTAGGTGAGCTGTTGGTCCACACAGTGTTTTCTGAAGGATACCTTGCTCCATTCTTAAATAATCGAGGGAAGGAGTCTATTTTCTCGAGTGACCAGCATGTTTAGACCCTGTTCGGTCAAACAATAACTCACGACTAGGACATTTTTCGCAGTCAGTTATATGCATGAACCAGCTTGTCTACCCCAATGCTTCTGTTTGGCTCGTGGGTACTTTAGCCTGGGTTCGCAAGAGTTTACCTTCGCTGTTCAAAAGACCTTTACAACTTGTTGTCATTTACAAAAGTTTTAAGCACGTTCAAAAACTTGCTTCTTATTGATATTGCTAATATTTTTAGCAAAATACCTTTTTTAATAGATACTTCGATTTGCGTTCGATCTTATTTCAGAAGAGTTGCAGATTTTGTTTTGAGTGCCTAAGATCCCCGATTTTATCATTTGTGTGTGTTCTGTGTGAGTTAAAAATCTGATCTCCCAGGAAATTCGGTGGTATTGCAATGGGCAACCTCCACATGATCACGTAGTTGCATAGGTATGTCTCGCTGTCAAACTTCAGATTACATTTCTCTATCCTCATTGCATAGACGGTATGTTGCTCATATTTTAGGCAAGTTCTATATCTTTGACTCGCTTCAAATCAGCCTACATATAAAACTGTATGCCCCTTATGGAAATGCTCGTGATTAAATGTGCCAGTTGGTTACCCCAAAATCAGTGGTGCGAAAGTCGACATGCAGGAGCTAATAGTTGCATTTCTACAGCTTTACACCGGTGGAATACCCTTAAAAACTGATCTAAGCCCCATTTCTCACCAAATAGCGACACTGCTGTTTAGAAGTTAGCGCACCTTTGATGCGTCCTCTCCATGGATTACTTAACAGACCACGTAAGATAGTTTTGGTCAATTTATGGCCGGTACGATGATAATCTCTCAAACTGACCAGATAGGTTTCGCGCTTTTTATGAGGCCTAGGAATTATTCGGTGGTCATGTTTCCCAAAATCGTGACGTATCAAAATGGCTCCAAGCCCTCTTCAATTCCCCTCCTGTTGAATATCAACAGTCCGGCTTCTCAAGTTATCTACAAGCACTCATGCATCTGCATATGGTGCTGGTATCCATCTGACTCGCAAGTTTGTGCGTCTCTACGAATTCTGAACCAACACGAACGGACTATCAGTATACCGGTTTCTGGTCTTGAAAAAGCCACTGTCCCTGCACCTTCATCTGTTCCATATTCTCTCACAGTTCCTTCATGCTTTTTCATGCTTATCACTTCCAATTTGTTCAGCTACATATGAACTTGAGGGTGAGCATTCACGCCACTCTCGTCTGAAAGTCATTTCCTAGCAGAATGTTTCTGGCTGGTCCACATTAAGGATTGGGGGGAGGGGACTTTTCTACTTCCTCGCTCCATCATTCCAAACATACACTCCCAATAAATTTCCTTGGTCTACCCGTCTCAAGGCGATCACTAATGGTTCATATAAGACGACCCATTTCCCCGCCCTTGTTCCACAGCTGAATGTTACACCCAAAGATTAGCGCCAACTGAGAATAACTCTCCCATTCGTTTGGCGGGATCTTTTCATATAGCACCAACATTTGTGTGGAATTTAATGAAATAAAATTGAACTCTTGTCCACTCCAAATGCCATGACAACCATCCTCATAAGTTTGCAGGAAACGCATTGAAGGATACCAGTATCTTTCTGGTCGTCCGCCAATAGAATTCCTCCTTCCGGTTTTTCGCCATTATCACGGCAATCCTTCTGAACAAGCTCATAGTTGTGAAACAAGCCTCCGTTCATTCATTAGTACTTAAAATGAGGCCGCTTTGACGCACTTTCACCGCACGTGCGCTCCTCTGAATAACGATTCTTTGGGGCCTCGTGTGTTTCCCCGTATTCTCGTCTACACATTACTCTCAACCTAACAATCCTCTAAATGATAGGCTTGTTGGCCATTTCTGCGCCCGCTTGGGCGACGTTTTTTCATCAGTCAGACCGATTTCGTCCACATATCATATTGCAAGTGGCATGCACTTGAGTGCAGACTTGCGCTACTGATTCGCTGCTCTCCTCGCTATCCATGTTATTTCAGTGGCACCAGAGATTTTGAGGCAGGCTGCTAGACTACATGGCAGAATGAATGATAGCTGTCTGCGAAGCAGCATTTGAAATTTTTGTATTCAACAAAAAACACTTTTCGAGGAAGATTCGAAAATAGTCAAGAACTCCGACAGATAATTTTTAAGTCCACACTTAGATATGCTGACTAGAGGCAATGGAAACCACACAGATTAATGGCCTAGCTTAACCTTACAACGTCACCGTTTGAAACATATCCGCCAATTATAAGGTGGCAGCGTGAAGGTACAAAACAGTACTTCGTTGGGTATGTCGACGAACGTTTACAATTAGAACTATGCGGATCCAATATGACCAATATATCCAAATGTCCAATGTGTCCATACACATACTTTCTTCAGCCTAGCATGCAGCATGCCCTAGGAAACTTGCTACAACCGTTAGAAATTTATCGACTCACCACAGAATCGCCGTCGGAAAGTGATCACATTTACTTCGTTGAGAGAGTTTTAAGCCTTTGAAATTTTACTTGACGGAGTAGTGCCACGATGGTCTCTTAAACTCAGAGTAACTCAGAAGGAGCAACGTCCACAAATTTATCAATCAAGCTTGCATTCTGGCAAAAACCCATGGTCTGTTGTAGTTCTATCAGTTTTAGGCAAAGCGGTGTTTTTTCATTGACAAGAAGGTTTTTTTGTGTCACTATTCGTAACTTTCAGTTACTCCCTCTTTTTTACTTTAATTATCTGCGGGTGATTATGTTTCTACGAGGTTCGTCTGGGGTAACTCGGTTTCACTTACCCTTTGCTATTTAATCTAATTTCGGATCACATCAGCAAAAGAAAATAAGCAAGGATCTTGGATATGGGCACAAGTGTGACGACCAGCTTGGAATTAATATAGACGTCAACGTTTGAACGGAAGCTGAGGGACTAGGGGTACAGCTGGTCAAAATCTCAAAGTCCCAAAAATTAGTAACTCCGAATATCGCACCAGCACAGGGGAGGGTATTAAATTCACCTTAACGAAGTTCGGCAAAGTTGAGGTCATAGGCATCTGAATAACCACGACCATATGCACAAGGTCAAGCAACGCAGGGGTAATGGGTAATACCGACAAAGTTAAGCCAGCACTTTGGTGTCAGTAATGAAGAATAAAACGGAAGTTGAAAGGTACTTAGGTACCTTAATAAGCCTTTCAGGCTATGGTATCCGAAAAGCACAATCCATCCACGACTTTATCGGCTGGCAGAATATCCACGAGGTAAAATTCACAGCACCAGATGGTACAGTTAACCCACTACACGAGATAGCCTGGTTTCTAGCGAAAATTCTAAAAACGTCAAAAGGGAAATGAACTGCGTACAGAAAGAATTTATACGGATTTGTTCACGAATTTCCAAGGACTACATTTGGAGATAAGCAAAGTCCTGGTCGGCTTTGTTGTTATCATCTTCAAGGCTGACTCCTTGGTAGTAGCTAAAAGAATAGGAAATTGACTGGTGCGAAATAGAAACCATCAGTTATCAAATAAAGGTGCCGAGTTAAGATACTCCTCTACCCGTCTCATTACAACAGAACTAAAACGTATCGTTCGCAGCAGAAACCCAGATATTCTTCGCGGTTTCATTAATCTACTCACGTATCTGAAGATTTAACGTTAATGGGCAAGCGATATGTATCCAAAAATGCTAGCTAGTTTCAATGGTGTTTTACCTGGTACACAATGACAGAGAAAATAACACATTGTTATCATCGAAAGGCTGTGATGGCTCGTATTCCCGCCATAAACGAGGAATCTTCCTTCGGACATGTTTTAGGACGGATCACTCTATTGTTCAGTAGGCCTCTAAATTTCATTCGCCTCCCACCTGGTATCCAGATCTCACCCTATTGTCTTAGGCAGTTGTCTGCCATGATTACTGACCACACCCAGGGTGATAAATCACATACATACCTTCGTAAACCTGAGCCGGATATCCATATTCCCTTGTATGGCTGGAGTGTGGTCAGTCATTAGGTATCATCACATGTTAATAAGAACACAAATTAAGTGGTAGCCATGGTTTCAACTCATTTGGCAGATAATTGATTGTAGAAGAGTCATCAGTAGCAATGTCAGTGACAGCAAAACCAGATGAGAACACTGGCGCTTCACTGTTGTTCAGCAGTGTCGATTTATTTCAATAAAACCTCATTGTGGAAGGAAAGAAAACGGGGTCATGAGAAGGACATAGTCTACCATAAACCTCTGAAATGTCCATATATCCATCACTCGGTCCGACAATCTGGATAGAGACTGACAGCATGGACGCCACTGGCACCTGTCTTTAGCCAAAGAAATGGTGGGGAATGAACCCCATGCTGGGAGGCAAATGACCCTGACGGCACCAAACTCTTCTTAACCTTCCTAATTACCGTCTACCACGTCATATTCTGTCCGCCCCTAGGCTTCCGCCCAGGAAACAAAGTTCTCATCGTCCTGCATGATGAATGGTCCAACCACCTTAGCTTGTTGAGCATGTTAGGTGCACTCCTTGCTTGAAGTAAGTAATGATAAATTATAATAATTGCTACTTCAACAAAGACAAGTTTCCTAATTACTTCACCGAGAATTTCCTGGTTTCAGCAGATTCCAGTCATACTTCCAGGACATTGGTGGTTAAACATCGGCAGCAGCACAACAACGCAGTCCGAATGACTGTCTGATACATATTACACTTGAGGCCCGTTTTGAAGCAACGAGTGGTGTGACCCGATGAATCCGATTTTGGCAGTTCAGCCTCATCCAATGTCCAAAAAGAGCGACCACTTTCGAAGCATTTTTGGTGGTCTGCGTTGAATCTAACCCAAGTTTGGAATCTTTACCACCAGTCGACCACATTAACCGATAAAACACTACTGGGTTTACAGTATCGTAAACTAAAAAACTATGCTAGTAATTAAGATGTTGTGGTTAAGTAGCTAATAAAGCAACTGGTCGTAGTACACTTAATCAGCTCTATCAGCTATGACAAGTTATGTTTCGGACAAAATGAAAGAACTCTGAGCGCAGACTAAGCGGCTTGATTTAGCTGTCTTTGCTCTCCGTACACGAGGATCAAGGAAAGCATGAATTCGATACGGGAACCTTGAAGATCCTATCGCGTAGAGATACACAGACATCGATGAAATTCTTGAAGGCATGGCATCCTTCTTTAAAGGATTTTGTGAAAGTAGTTTCCAAAGCGTGCTTTGCCAAGTGAAGTACGCATCTCCGTGAACAACTAATGAATATTAATTTTTTTTGAGAAAAAAATGGAACAGTGGAGGAGTAGATCGAGCTAAACAACTTATACAGCTCTGTGGTGTGATTGCTTTTAACTGCTCTAACAAGCAGTACCTTGGGATAAGTCTGATATTATTTAGTTGGTTAATGTGCCGACATACGTCTCATGAAAATATAACTGATAATAATAATAAACACCAAGATATAGCCTACTTCTGTGCCTAGCTACCGAGCCGTTCGAGAGGAACACGGGTGGTGAAATTCTGCTAGTCTGGATGCAACAGTGGAAAATATAGGACTGAGTTCTAGCAGCAAGCGGGCGAGATGGCTCAGTGGTTAGAGCGCGGAGTTACTGACCACAATGTCCGTAGTTCAAACCCGACCTCTGCCTTTCGACTTCCTCTATCTTAGCCTTAGCAACCTGGCAGAATCCCAGTACTCGTGCTTCATTAGGATGGTCTGACACCAAAAGGGTGCTACAGTAGAATGATTTTTCAAGCGGCAGACTTTTCGTGAAACGGTTGCGCACTCTAAGCGGTTATGTATCCCGTACTCGTGTGATTCAAAGCAAACAAAGAATATTTAATCAGTCTAGCCGACACACGATAAGTCCGCCCTTACAGCCTGTTAAAATCGACATACACTGTATTCAGTTGGGCAGTCAGATAGCTTGAGTATTCGATCCATTGGAGGTAAATTAGCGGTCAGCGTATCAAGCAGCATTTCGGGGAACTTAATGTCACAAAGGTCCTCGCGACCAGTGATTGCCTCCAAAGTAGTATCTGCTTCACAAGAATTTGCGCTTGTTCGTAGGTTAATGATATCGCCCGCTATCTCCGATGGTTCCCGATGTATGGAGGCCATTGAAATCGCCAGGGTCTGGGCAACTTTTGCGGAAAACAGCTCAAGGCTGTAACGCCTCAAACCAAACCGTTTTGAGCCAATGCGATGGAACCGTTGTGTGATGGACGTGTTTTCATCCAAGCCTGCTGTAAGCTGAATCCCTTCCAACTGTTTGCACAGATTTGTGGACGTCACGATCGAGGTGACTTCACTTACGGCTCCATCGTTCGTCTGGAGGAAGAGAATAAAGAACGAAGGACGAGGTATAAGGGGAAAAAAGTGTCAGCAAACTAAATGATAGTTGATTTATCAATGAACACCACCATCATCATTGTCGTATTCGAGGTTGTTAGTGAGCTAGTCAATCGGTCGGTTATTCGCTATGCACCGCCTCTCAAACTCCGGTGGATCCATCTGTTATAGCAATCTTCAACGAGGATACTGGGACTACCGATATGACAAACACACGTTAAAAGAGATGGATCAATCAGTTCAATAACGCAAAATGATTCATTTCGTCTGGTGACAGGTAGTGAAAAAACCTACGCTGGAAGGGCAATATCTTAGCCTTAGCAACCTGGCAGAATCCCAGTACTCGTGCTTCATTAGGATGGTCTGACACCAAAAGGGTGCTACAGTAGAATGATTTTTCAAGCGGCAGACTTTTCGTGAAACGGTTGCGCACTCTAAGCGGTTATGTATCCCGTACTCGTGTGATTCAAAGCAAACAAAGAATATTTAATCAGTCTAGCCGACACACGATAAGTCCGCCCTTACAGCCTGTTAAAATCGACATACACTGTATTCAGTTGGGCAGTCAGATAGCTTGAGTATTCGATCCATTGGAGGTAAATTAGCGGTCAGCGTATCAAGCAGCATTTCGGGGAACTTAATGTCACAAAGGTCCTCGCGACCAGTGATTGCCTCCAAAGTAGTATCTGCTTCACAAGAATTTGCGCTTGTTCGTAGGTTAATGATATCGCCCGCTATCTCCGATGGTTCCCGATGTATGGAGGCCATTGAAATCGCCAGGGTCTGGGCAACTTTTGCGGAAAACAGCTCAAGGCTGTAACGCCTCAAACCAAACCGTTTTGAGCCAATGCGATGGAACCGTTGTGTGATGGACGTGTTTTCATCCAAGCCTGCTGTAAGCTGAATCCCTTCCAACTGTTTGCACAGATTTGTGGACGTCACGATCGAGGTGACTTCACTTACGGCTCCATCGTTCGTCTGGAGGAAGAGAATAAAGAACGAAGGACGAGGTATAAGGGGAAAAAAGTGTCAGCAAACTAAATGATAGTTGATTTATCAATGAACACCACCATCATCATTGTCGTATTCGAGGTTGTTAGTGAGCTAGTCAATCGGTCGGTTATTCGCTATGCACCGCCTCTCAAACTCCGGTGGATCCATCTGTTATAGCAATCTTCAACGAGGATACTGGGACTACCGATATGACAAACACACGTTAAAAGAGATGGATCAATCAGTTCAATAACGCAAAATGATTCATTTCGTCTGGTGACAGGTAGTGAAAAAACCTACGCTGGAAGGGCAATAGCTTTGGTTTAGACATGTCCTCTCACCGCCAAACTGCAATCACGTCAGTCCTATAGATGTCACGCTTATTCAGACGTTCAGAGGTCTTTATTCAGTGCATTCATTTGAGGGGGACCAGAAGTGGAGAATTCATCTGGGTCCCTTGTTACCACTAATGCAATTTATTAATTTTGCGAAATTTGGGGTTCAAATAGGACATGGAGTTGATAGTTACTTTGAAAGTAAGCGTATCTAATGAGCCTTAAGAAATTCGATATCATTAGTCAGCCGTCAAAGAATATTCAACAAATTTGAGTCTCATTGTTTCTGTCAAACTGATCAGCTCCTACTTCAAGGCGAAGTTTCTGTAAAAAAGAGTTCCGTCTTTTTCGGCGATCGTTTTGCGAACACCCGTTCCTTGGTTCAGCTGACCGGATTGGATAAGACAAATTGCTATTGTTAACCTTTGGAAGAGCATTCTCTTTATTCCAGAGCTTACCTATTCACCAGTATTCCGTGCCAATTCTTACGCAGTTCAATATTCCAAATTTTAGAGGCCAACACGTACCAACATGGTCGTTTGTTTTTTTATGGTAAGATTGACTTCAGAGGCTGTCAGTGATGACGAGTGTTCAATGAAGTATCTAGGCAATCTCGACTGGATAAGTCTTTCAGCATGGGCTCTTTAAACGTGCCCCATTGTACGTCAAATCTCATTACGCCGGTCTATATGTCGGTCGTATAGACGCCTTTTAACCAACCGCACTCGTCATTGCTGGGGGGGCAGAAGTGGTTCGGCAGTGATGAACCAATGGCCCTTATCAGTGAAATGCCCCAAATCAAACAGGATTTGGGGCATTCAACCGCCATTCATTCCACCACGGTCAAATTCAAGCTGTAATAGTAGTGTGACGCATTCATTTGTTTCTCCTGGCATCCAGAAAAAAGAAGTACAGATACTGCATTTCCATGAGCAAAACGTTTCGTGTTCAACGGTTAATCATAACCTCCCAGGGGTTACATAATACAGGCGATGAGGTCCAGATGAGGCCCAAACTTATTGGTTATGCGCAACATTAGAGGATGCCCTTATACTCCGTAAATACTTCGCACCAAGAAATAAATGGGTCTCGTTTAAGCTGGCTTCATCAGGTTACCAGAAGAAGATGCGCAAAGACGAAGCTATTCACGAGGACGATGATTAGGAATGCCATCCCACTCATTGATGGTCTTGCTCCGAGCTCTTGGAACTCTTAACAAAACACAAGTCAAATAATGTCTTGGGTACACTAAGTGTTCAGCCTAGCATATATATGTAAACAGTCAACAAGAAATCCAGGCAGTCAGTCTGACATTCCTAATTTCATAAATAAATCGGCGATCCAGATTTGGTTGCCCGCCACAATCCGACCGGTCGCCACTTACAACGCTACGCCAGCGAACAGTACGAATATCCCCCAATGGTGTTTTTCACAACCACAAGACGCTGCATCTATGCTCAGTGCGTAGTAAGGAGGCTAATGATAAATAACATCAATTTCAAGCCACTACAAGTCTTGTGGAAACATGCGATGAATTGAAAGAATGAAAGAATGAAACTCACCAGTCGAATGTTTTCTTTTATTCGAAAACGCCGGTGAAGCTTTCGAACGAATGTGTCGCTCAACAACTCTCCCTCATCTATTTTAACCCAAACAGAATCCTTGTTGAGTTTGGTTTTACTAAGCTTCAGATACAAAGCAAGCAGAAAAGAGACAGACTCAGCATATGCTAATCAAATGTCTTGGAAATAATCAATATTGTCGATTGCAGGGTGAAATTTATACCAATTTATACCAATACTGTTCGTGGAACGTATTTTGACGGTGCAAAATGAAGAAATGTGATATTCTGACTGCCAAAAATAGAAAAAAATACTGAACCCTCAAAGTTATTAGAGACGGTTTAGTCCGACTTTAGGCCTCGAGGTATACGGTGTTGGCAGTTTGTCGGCAAACTTCAGGCTTCCTCGGATATCTGACAATTGCTTGTGAGTTATGGACCTCAGGGTGACTAAGGTATAGGGGATATCCAGCATCGACGTACGTATTAGGTTTGGTACACCGGTGGTCCCCCCCATCAGGTAAGCAAAAGAAAGCCTCATAATTCACAGTATCGATTACCTTGTGATTAGCTAAATTTTATGACACGGTTGTTCTCTGGGTTTAAACTACCTGCAAATCTTTTTGTTGTGCGACATTGTAATCTTTCTTGGCGAAGTAAACTCAAGTCAGACTAATGCGATAATTCATGTTATCCAGTAAGCAATATAAGTACAGACGCACTGTTGGTGGATGAACAGATGGCGACTAACCAGTTCATAGAATTGTGTACTCGACTTTTCAGCTTGAACCAGGAAAGCTCAAAATAGTTTAGATTGGGGAAAATGTTACTGCGATACCTGCAAGTGGGGACTGTTTTGTTCGGATATTGCGGCTACGGTAGGTGAATACCATTACTGACGAATGCTAAAGATCAGCTACTCCCAGAAGTACACACCGAAAAGGTCAGAGACCAACTACTGACCGATATATCCGAGTCCATGACCTTCATTAAAACAGCTCACCTTCTGTAATAACGGTAATACCTCAGCTCAGCTCCCGGTATGTATCATCCACGATAGTGTTTTCGGTGAAACAGCCACCAAAAAGGGAGCACAAGCGTATTAAATGCCCGAGACCAGGTCGAAACCCCATATACAACTCATCTTGTTCAAATTGTACGGAGAGAAAATATTCTGGAAATTTTGACGCCTTCTGGATACACCATTGTTAACGGGCCTTCGCCTGATACCGAATCACAATTGTTTGTTGGGTACACCTTTCGGTCAACCAGAGCTGATCGTAATGTTGGACCGGCAAGCGGCTGGAGCTTCTGGTTAGTCGCTTGCTGATTAGGCTTCTAGGTTGTAGTAACGCCTAAATGCGGGCGGAAATGTGCAGGATTCCGCCCACCTTTTTCCTTTTAGGATTTCCGTTCGATCGCTCCGCTCGTTATGCAAACAGACGGGTTTTTCCCAAACCAGTAAATGGTAATCGTTCTCTGCGACCACTCAACAGCACCAACTGACTAGTAAGCCGACATGATTTGCTGACTGGCACCAAAACGTCTAGTAAAACTCTACGCAGACTAAACTATCTGATTAATCTTGTATTTGCGATACATCACAAAACCAGTAGAGTTTGGCTAGCCATTACTGCTTTGAGCTCAGGCTCAGTTTAGTCAGTTCAACGCGGGTGGTCTGCTACACAGTTACAAAATGTGTTCGAAGAATCCTGATTCATTAAATGATTACTTGGTTCACTATTGATTATCTGGGGATATTTTTTGGGCATACAGATTATTTGCTAAGTGAAATTCTTTGTGTTCTACCCATCGTGACTTGTGAGCGATTTTGGACTAATTTTGCAGTGCCACTGTGGTCATGAGACAAAATCCAGGTCTGAAATGCATATCAGTGCGTTCAATCTGAGCGTACATACTGTGTTTTCTTCAAAAAGCTGAAAAGATGAGGAGGTCAGGGAGGCCTTATAAGATTATCGAAAACGTTACCAAGCAGAGTTAGAAAGACTACATTTCTAGGAGAAAAAAATCATTCTTGTGCTCCACAAATCGGCTTACGAATATTTCATGGGTAGACGGGTCCACCGGATCGGATTTTAGTATCTTGCGCAGGCAATAATTCCTACAGCACACGAAACATCCACAATACATTAAGATGAGAAGCCGTCTTTGGGCGAATTGCGGACGTACTAATAGGAATTGCAAGTGTTGTTAATCACTTTGAACTCCGAGTGTAATAATATATCCCTTGTTGACGAAAAGTCCCCGTTTGTATGATCCTGATGGATTAAAATGAATTATGGAGAATATTCAAAGTAAAAAATCACCCGAAGGGAGTTCTCGGGATACCCGTTGACAGACATGTACCTTGATCATCGGTCAAGGCCGGGTACGACAAGGTAGCTCAGACATAATTTGTGCAATATGTTGCTTCAACTGGATGTCAGCACACCAGACAATATTGTCCTACCTGTAAATGTCTGCAAAATTCAAGAAAATGGGGTTATTCCTCATACCTATTACAGCAAGCCACCACAATATCACAATATCATACATATACATAACTGTCGTCAAACACTGAATATATTGTTCGAAGCGAAGAAGACCGTTGGTCAGACTATTGTTCTTTTCACGTCTATCTGGGGAGAATACGACTCAAACAGGACAAAGGATATCCACAGTTTTTAGTGTCACCTGTTGGGAAAACCCACGTTACTTAATACAGTAAAATTTGATCAAGCCAGCGCTTGTTGCGAGTTTCTTATGCTTATCACAAAGTCTTAACTTTTTTTCGAAACAATCATCACTTCTTTGGTACACAACAAAAACAAAATGTTCCGACTTACTGGGGTAACACAAACTTTTTTTAACCTATATGGCGCTGAAAATGTTTTCTTTGGCTTCATATTGTGCGGCATGGGAGATTCTGAAAAGTATATGTACAGTATGTGCGGTGCAATCGCATAGAAACAAACGTTTTGAATGCAGGATTTTCATGAACCAAATAAAGCCATTGGCTCAATAGAAGGCAAACTATTTTGAGGAAGTGCAGTGTGTCCGGGATTTCACTCCAACCTGATTTTTCATTGTTATCTATTCACTGAAGGATAGGGGCGCTAATTTTTTCAGGTGCAATTTAAGCATACCAAGTGGAAAAATGTCCCTGACTACAGCGAAATCATCATTCGAGGATGCAGTCAGCACACTTGCACGTAATTTCGATGCCGTGACTGAGAAATGGATGAATCGATATTCTTTTATGTGCAATTCAATCACACTACTGATTAGCAGCTCACGGCCAGACGGTTAAATGTTCAGACTATTGACGGGGAAGCCGTGGTTTGAAAATGCATTGAGATTCCCGAGATTCACAGTGCCGATGAGTTTCGACTTTCAACATAGACTGGGTTCGTTGAAAAAAATCTCCATTGAATTCCCGAAGCCTCCCGCTCAAGCATCTCTAAGTAGTTCACAGGAAAACAAATCCACAAGATGAATTAAGTTTTCATATGAGAAGTCGTCACTCGAGCAACCAGTCAAAAACACGTGTTGTGGATTACTTAGAGAAAGCATGCAACCTATGTATGCGCGGGCTGATCACACTGCTCCCCGTCGCTCGTCATTAGAGGGCTCAAGCTCTACAATGCTTCTCCGACTTTCGACCTATGATGATATCAGTTACAGGATAAATACTCAGATGTTGTCTATAATGTCACTCAGCTCTTTCCAAGGATGACGATGTACTGGTAGCTTTCAACCTTGCAAAAGTTTTGGTAGCAGACTGTCAAAGTGTGAGAACAACCGGGATTGTCGACAAAAACACCCATCTGCGAATCAATTTGATCTTCACGGGAAGCTCAATTGAATCTCTCGTTTAGGATGTTCTTTAACCAGATGTGCTGTGCGTCGAATAGTTTTTAGCACTCTTGTAAGCAGTTTCCTCCACGAAAATAATTATCGATGTTCCGTATAAAGTACTCAAAAATTGTCGGATTGCCATACATGTCTATTGTGTAACCTCAAAGTATCGCAAAGACTAAGGTGGTATCCTTTTGCTATAGCTGAGAAAGGACAAGGTAGATTTGACCATCAGTATCACTATCATCATGAAGCTCATCATCAACATCATAGTCGTCATTATCATCAGTGACATCACCATATCACTCACCATTATCAGCATTATTATCGTGTGTCAGATGTTCAGAGTTTAAACCCCGACACCGTCATGTATTAGCACGGCTGATGAGCTCTAATGAGAGCAGACATCCAGTCCAGTGCTACCCCGTTTTGTGTCAGCTGCCGGAATGATTGCACCAAGGAAAAAAAGTGGGCTGTTCAGATGAAAATGATGTGAAAGTGAATCCTGTAAACCCAAAGCCAGGTTGCCAGTTTGTTACCTAATTTTAAGCAATAATATATCAAGAAGACTTTTGATCCTTCTTATTATACAAAAAAACCACTAAGCAGGTTCGTCATAGGCTTGAAACACCAGTGTTGCGGGTGTATTTGATAGAACAAATAAGGTGCCAAGGTGCGCGTTTCGAAAAGTCGAAAGCCCCTATGTACATACCCGGAATGGGAAGCTGTGTAGCGTTTATTCCATCCAACAACAGTGGTGGTGGTGGTGGAATGGAAACGATGGGACGTGGGGGTGGGACTTTGAAGCCCATTGGAGTTATGTCCGGTTCTTTGTGTCCCGCAAATTTATCCATGCTATCAAAAGTCCCCGAACGTATTGGTGTTTCCTGTTTCTCGGACTTTGTCGCAGTCTGGAATGGCTCTGATGAAACAACAGCAACCGATTCTCCTCCAGAACCACAAGAGACCGAAGTGGTTGATGATGAAGAGCTATGCTGTTTCTTGATGAGTTTGCTGAGCTGCAAGATAAGAAAAAACTGCCCTAATTCGTTTGAAACACACCGGACACCATTAAGTTTCGGTACACACTCCGCGTTCTAATATTGCGGGACACACGAATGGATGCATAAACACAGTGTAATAAAGATTTATCCAGTTTACTGTAGCAGAAGCGAAAGAATTCGGTTGAATCACGATGAAAAAATCACGGTAATGCTTCCATCTGACAGCTGTATGGGGAGAGGCTGACAATAGAATAATAGCCAAAATGGCCGTTATTTCCATCTTTATAACATATTTCCAACAATAATTCAAATTACCATGATACTTCGACTTATGTACTGCATGCGATATTCTCTCGAAATATCTGCCTTTACATTTCGACAGGAACCGCAAAATGTCGGTAGTTTATTCGTCTGTTCTCAGGCCTATATCGCCGTTTGTGAATCCCAAAGGTTCATTAAATACCAGTAATCTTTCACTTGACATGTCATTTCTTGAGATTTTTTCGCTCCCTTGGTTTAAAGCGGAAAGGTTCTTTGCATCCAAGACTTCGCAATGTGACATCCGGTTTGTCAGTAACCCAACCCATCTGTCTTTATAAACGATCGTATTCCCGGGAAGGCTATCCATGTTTGCACTCCATAAACACGCAGCTAAAGCCCTTTTTTACGGTTGTCAGCAGATGTTGAATTTCATAATGACTAAGAATCATTCAGTGTAACACCCTTTTAGTGCCTTGCTGCCACACCACCAGAAGGAAGCACGAGGGCTGTGATACTGCCAGTTTGCCCGGGCCTAAACAGGGGAAGTCGAGAGTCAGAGGTCGAGTTCGAACCGTTGACCTTCCGATCAGTCATCTCGCCCTCAGAGATACTGAATTCAATCCAGGTAAACCAGTCAACTGATTTCCAGTTGCACCAACTCTATCCAATCGTCCATCCAAATATCTGGTAACCAAGATTTTATCTTTGGTTTAGCTCACCTTAGTAGGGCATTCATTTTGTCATAAGACTCATCTTTGATGTCAGAATTAGAGTCGATTGGGGTGTAAGCAGTCATGGTAAACTGACAACGCGTAACTGGGAGGAAATCCTGTCAATCAGGGACCTTTCAGGCCGATGAAATAACGATGCCCACTCTTTACAGCCTACGGCAGCAAGGTAAGGATAGCCAGAATTAGGTTTAGTGATGAAAGAGTTAGGCCGACTATTGTTCTGGTATTCTGAGTCCTTGCGTCTGATATAAAGTACAAAGAAATTTCGAGTGACGACAGTGTGCGAGCAACAGAGCTTATTGTCACTACTTGCTTCGCAGTGCGGACAATAAAAACAGCCAGACAAGTCAGCAGTTGAGGCTTGAAGCTTGATTTTGAGATGTCGGTGCCGGGTGCTCCGCAGATGTTGCGGCAAGGACCGATGCATGACAAATGGTGCTGTCACTTGTAACGACCTGGCCTTCAACGAGAATGCTATTATTAAAGTGGAATGGAAAATAAAAAGTCTGTAAATGAAAAAAGAAGGGAGACATCAGCAGTGGCATGACTTTGCTTAATCATTATGATATATGCAGCAAAAAAGGCAAGCTAATGAAACCATGCGGCGGCTGATGTTGCATGACAATATTTTTAATGGTAGAAATTGGGGTTGTACGTGTGCTGGAATACTTGGACAATTCGCCACACGCGTCCCGACCCCAACCCAAACATCGATGTGTCTATCAGTCCCCTAACTACTAAACAACCCAGTATGAAAATTTGCTGGCGTCAAATTTGGACTGCAGGTATTGTTCACTGAAGCATACTTTTATCAAACAATGCTATTTTAACTGTCTCTGAATTTTTGATTTATCCTACGTCCGAGGGACGCAAATATGGGTACATTTGATGAGTTTTGTAGTTACTCCCTTCAGAGGCTACACAAACAGCTCAACTAGTTGAACGTTTTCATACTGAACGGGGTGGTGTAGTTTCTTGATTGGTAGGCTAAAGGGGGGGTTAGACAATCACTGAAAGGGTTGCGATGTACCAAAATATGGATGAAACAGCTTTCTTGCCGGCTCACACCAATAGCCATTTCGGTGACAAAGTACCACGCTGCCTCAAAGCGTTCCCACATTCTTAACCCCGAGGTATAAATTTATGTAGGATATTCTTCCTACTTCTCACTTACTTTCAGCTGGAGGTTAGACGAGTTCACTCGCTTTAGAGAAGAAATTCCCGATGGAAGTTGTAACCTTGCTAGGCGTTTGATTCCTTCCCTCGTTTGTACGAGGTTGTACGGCGTTTGTATTTCAAGTAGCTAACTCAGTTTATTTGTTTACACAGAGGCATTAGCACTGAGGATAGTCGTTTCAAATGCATATTATGGAAATAAGCTACTTTTTTTGCTAGTCTCTGCATGCAGCACTTCCACAATAATGAGTGGTCTCGAAGACGAACCCCCCTCAGAACCTACGCTTCTTTACCTCCCCAAGCCATCACTAAGAAAAATGTGTGCAATTGACACACCTCCATCTTGACCCAACGCACACAAACGTAGGCAAGTTATTCACGAGGAGTCAGGTCCTGTGTAGACACTTAAACAATGGAGTTGCGTAACCACAAGTAGTATGATACTGGCGTGTATATTTTGCCCTAACAAGCACAGGGAGAAGATACTTGGAAAACAAAATTTCTAGGTAAATGTCGGGGACCGATGCTGAGTTTCGCTCCTGGGTGTGGACATGGATCAAGGTAATTTGCGATGCCTCTGGTCATAGTAACCCAAAAGCTGAAGTTTTTCTCAAGGATTTTCAAGAATTATGTGACATTTATCGGGAAAATATCTTTTACAGGTTACGAGTATAAACGTGTGCTTAGCTAGGTGCTGTGAAAATAAATAGACTACATTACCTCTTCAATGCTTTCCCCAGTTTGTACGGCCCGATTAGTTGTTTTGACTCGGCGCGTAATCAGAACCGATGGAGCTGGCAACAAACCTGATTTTCGTGGCACACTGTTTAGGGTTTTCCTTCGAAGTTCTCCATTAGCAGTGCGATGCAATGATTCTATCTGGGGAGTGAGATGAAATAGTAGGCTAACGGACTTGGAATTGATTTATTTAAACAGCGGCATACGAAACGTGTCCATGATCGAAAATCTGAGAAAGCGCATGTAGAACATGAAAGCTGAGCAGTTGTGGACTACGTTACAAAAGAGAGAATAAACTGCGTCACTAGAACCATAAACCAAAATGCGTCCTTATGATCAACTGTTGGGAAGTCTTTCGAAGTAAAATTCTCTCATCAACTGGCAATGTTGAGAACTTCCAGTTTCCTTTGCACAATTCAACAGGCGGCAAAATCGTTATTTTTCGAGTTCTCACTTTGGAAGAATAGATGCAATGTAAACTTTTGTAATGAAACAATTACTCTTAGTGAAAAGCTGAAATTGAAGCAAATGGTTATGGTTGCAAATCTAGTATGCGATGTTGTTATACATCCATTAACCGGAGGCGCTCGGTTGAACAATAGTTTAATTACTTATTCCTTATGGTCTTCATTTTCCATTACGGCTCATGGATGTGGCCACCCATATATCGATTTTATTCAGGAATGAACGGCTAGGTCGCCACGATGCTGATTTTCTGTACATTTGAAACGATACTTTTAAAAAGGAATTGTTTTGCCAACGTTTCTAGAAAGCGTGTTCCGCACAAACAAACTTTATGGTGGTTACAAATAATGAGCTTTTTGATGGTTCTAGACATTCGGTTCGCATTGATACCAAACAAAGATGTGGCAGACTTGCAGCTCCTATTCTCCTCATGGGTACATACATCACTTTGATCGACCAGACTGAACAGAATATTTCAGATATTTGAGATATTCTGTCCTCTCAGAAAGACACAGTGTGTGAAGGTTAGGAAGGGAGCGAGTAGACTAGAGACGTCAAGTGGATTTGGTGAAAAAACCGTACAGCGGCTGGCGCACTCGGCCAGTGGAACGCAAGCCTACAGGCACATACTAATTTCTCTAGAACTTGGGACCGTGGGACCAGCTTATTTGGTAGAGTATTCTGTCGGGTCTCTGTTTACTTTGGAAAGAACAACACAGCACAAGCGTTTAATTTGGACGTATCTGATAATTGATCCAAAGCTCATTTTTGACATTAAAAATGAGCCTTGGTTAAGGCATGCGATATCATGCCCCAGTGACAAATCCGACTTCAGGATAAAGAGTGGAACTGACGAGAGTATAGGACTGTATGTTCGTTTTAGGTGATTTCGGGATCCGTAGCATTCATGTTCACATTACGTTCATGCAAACAGTCCTCGTTCTGTTCTGGCGCAATCATTCTGGTAGGCTAGCACCAAAGAGAGGAACTCTGGACTCGCTTTTGGCTCTTACTGGAGCTCACCAGCCGTGCATATCCTTTGCCTTGCAGAAGATTGAAACCCCGACATCGGACTTATGAGGAGAGCTTGTTACCATTACTCCACCAATGCACATTAGAAGAACCTGATTTATCACGTCTCACGTTGCGATAGTGTCCACGTTAGCCTATTCCATCACTTTCAGCAGACCTGCAAGTGCCTCACTGTACTTGGGAGAATACGTTGGTAGCTTTATCCGGTGACTTTATTTTAAACACTCACGAAACCTTCCAAAAACTGAGGCTTTTCTGAGGAAGTTATGTTCTCGTGGCGTTCTCACAACGAATGGTGGAATAAAGCCGAAGTTGGTTGCATAGTTCCAGTAAATCTATTACTGCCTAACCGTCTGAAGTAGTTCCTGAAATGTTCATTTCGGACCACCAACAGATGACACTTCAACTCCTTTTAACTCTTAATTGCAGAAAATGTATTATACAGAGTCGGACATTTTGTTGCCCACCAAAAATCGTTCAGTCGTTTGTACTGAGCGTCATGGCCTTAGGACGCACAAATCAAACTTCAATCGGGTCTAGTCAAGGTGATGGTCAGAAGCAAATGGCTTGCGATATCTTCATTACTCTTATTTCTTGTAGTCAGCTCGGTAACCAATGGCTTTGGGCTAAGCCAATAAGCGAGTGCTTATCATCTCATCTACTCATAGATTTCTTAAGATAATTTTGATACAAGGAGAATTAACAGCAGCCAACGATGGCATGAATTTCCCTGGCCGTGTTCTAATAGGAAAGCCCTGGAATGCCAAGGTATATTTTCTCCTGAAAGTCAATCAAAGCCCCGTAATATAGGTTATCAACTACACTTTTCGAGATGTGTAGATGCCTCAATTTACGCTCTCCCGGACGTAAGAATTTCGCTGAACTAATATGCAGTACTTGACTGGACACCAGTGCAGGGCAGAGTGTACCTTGTGAGATAGAATTTCCCGGGAGGAACAAAATCGTACATCAGCTTATTTCTTTGTCGCTGCACCGGTGTACCGGCAGACCATTGTTTTATCTGTAAGGACGAGCTCTGATGGCAAGCAAAATACATTTCTGAAAGATCCTGTAGTAACTGCTAAACTTGTGTGGGGCTCACCAACTGTTTCGGTTGGCACCAAATGCCTTTATAGTTGAAGCTATCTTGCAAGTTGATGCTACACTTCCATGTCCTGACGATGTGCTCAGAATGACTCCACTAAAACCCCCGGTCATTGATATGGTTCTGCACTCTCAATGAATGACATTGGATTCCAACAACATGCTGACGTTTGCCAAGTTGATTATATTTTTCCAAGGACGGCATTCCACTTACCGTGTGCGAAGCAACGCCTCTGAAACAATATAGCCTATCACCCTAGAAAAGCTCGGGGTGAGCTTAAAGTACCACTCAGAACGCTGAGTGACACTGGAAATCCCTCAGGTTGGGAATGGAATTTTGTTTAGGTGTTCGTGTAACAACCGACTCTATGTATATTTCGGAGCGCCGTTGACCTTGTCTAACAGCTTGATATCCTCCAAGCGATTCCAGCAGATGCTTTGCATTGGAATACAGACACGCGTTGACACAACATTAAGAAAGCCTCAAAAGTATCACGAACATAGATTGGGATATGCAAGCCAGATAAAGTTAAAAGGCCTTGAAAACTGTTAACAGCCGTCCGTCACTGGCCTAACTCTGGCTGAAACAAGCTACTGAAATCCCCCATGAATGACGGACAACCTAAAGCTAGGTGCAAATGTCGGACGTGGAGTTTGGTAAAAATACCAATTCTTGTTCTACGCCCAGCTTTCATTAAGTATAACCCGACCACAGCACCCATTGTGACACGCCATTAGTCAGGCTGTTTATTAGGGAATCATTAAAATCTTTTCGCCCCTCTCATGAAGTAGATATATCTGAGGAAACGAAGTGTAGGTTGCGCATCATTTAAAACCGAGGCCATATGCATTAAGACCGCTTACTGCAGTTTTGACCGTGGATTTTTTAACAAGGGCGTCCGTTAAATTGTTATTCGGAGTCCTCTTTAATTTCTATTGTAAGACTAGCCTGATAACAGTTGGTTCTCTGACTTTGGCAGTAGGCACTATTCGCATGTGATCTTCTAAACCAAAATTGACGTGTATACTTTAGTCACTACTTAACGTAAACTAAATTCAGAAGCATCAATGCTTGTTTACAATTTATTCATGAACACTCATGTTTCTATAGACGAAAGGTTCCCTTAGAAGTAAAACATCTTGCATGTTTCAACTGCGTCACAGACCTAAAAACGCTATATCGTACAAGCCTTGGATCTGCTACATATCGTTATATCATCAGGTTTTCTACTAAGAAGTGGATAGGCAGTGGATGAAAATAACATCACCGTTTATTTCTGTAGAAGAGAGCACCCTTCAAGCCGATGGCATGGAGCCATTATCATAAAGTGCAGTGAAAAAGATGTTGACTAAGAATGTGACAAAGATTCGTTTGAAGCTGATTCCCTGTCAACCCAGTTTTCGACGGACTGGACGGTGGCAAGATTTGTCACCATGGGGCAATTTTGCGGTAGAAGATCTAAGTTCAGCTACAAGACTGTTCGAGTGCATCATACTTCCTGACCCTAGAAAGTGATTCACCCAGCCTAGTTGACTGTTGTCTGGATTTGGGTATACCTCGATAAAAACTGGTATGGTGAAAGCGAATGTGGCCTTCTCAAAGTCTTCGAAGTGAGTGCTCTCGAATATGTGGTTGCCACTGAGCTTTCGACAGGTGTGTTGCTTCATCTGTATATTTCTTCTTTCCTTTTCCTTCATAAGAATTGCCTAGACCAAACCACTGCCTTGTTCAGGGTAGTTATCCCCAGATAATGAATATCGTGAGTGGATGGGCCAGCTTTTATCCTCAGTCACACGTTGTCCAACCCAAAGAGTTTGATAGTATGATAAGGGTAAGGAGAATACGATTGGTTGCAGCAACCAGGTTGTTTAGTTCAACGAACAACCAGAAGCCGTCTTTACTACCAGTCTTCAATTTCATCAGGGAGTGTCAGTCCGGAATTAAAATAGCCACCCCCTAGAAGAGATTCTCCAAAGGGTCATCCTGTATTAGGAATACTTTTGCTACAAATTTATCGTTCGATAAGCGTTACGAGCAAGTTTACGGGTACCATGTGAGAAAGGATATCTGACACTTTCAACAGCCATGTAGAATGCTCCATTCCAAGACTCACGGTGAAACAGCTCCACGCGAGTCACTCCACGCAATATTCGTTTAATGCTTACTTTTTTGTATGATATGCTTTTTGAGTATGTAGAAACTTTTTCGAAAATGGATAAGAGATGAAAAATTATCAGGCACTCGGATTAATGTGGTCCAATACGTATCTAAACTTTGGAGTTGCTTACCTTGGATGGTCTTGGCTGAGAAGGCAGTTCATCTGACTTTCTGGGTTGACCGGTTTTTACACGTAAGGAACGAGTTAGCCGAGACATACGATCCGATATAGCCTTTCCAAAATCCGGACCACTGCGTGCTGTGGTGCAATGATCCAAACTTTTCGGAGTAGTTTCACGCCCCAGTGGGAAAGAGTATCTTCGAATAAGCATCATGGAACATCGAACAGTTGTGCATAGATAACTAACCAAAATAACTGTTATAGAGATCTCAACCTGTAGGTGAAGTCAATATATGTCGAAAAGCCAAGAGACCCTGCGATTCTTGGCTTTTTTTAGCATACATTGGCTCCGAATACAGATCAAAAACCTTCATCAAAATTTACAAGCCTCCCCAATTCCAAAGCAAATTGTGACTCAACAAAACATAATCAGTATCCTTTGTAGGTTCTTCATTTCAGTTTGTGCGCAATGTTAAATATATTACACAACAGGAACTTAAGACTCTATGGCGACAGATTGCTCACCTACATCGGATATTCACCACAAAATATCAGCATGGAAGGAAAAAAGTCAGACCTCCAGACGTAAAATGCAAACGGAAGAAAGGTGGATTGTGATGTGGTGCACCTTCGATAGAATATTTTCTTCCACCGAAACTTTCACCAGTAAATCCCGATAGCTCGGTTCGTACTGGCAACTACTGTAGCTCTGACAAGGTTCACGGATATCATTAACCTTCTACTGGGCTTTCTTCAGTCCATTAGTCAAATCTGTAGCTTAGTTTGAGAGCCTATTAACAAGGCAACAAAACCTGTTGGCTGGTGGGGGCCACGTTAGGGACATATATGCAGACATATGCGGAATTATGCGAAAGCCATTAGGATCCCTATGGGATAATTACTGGCATGATTTTAGTGTACCTTAAAAACATCAAGGCACATTAAAACTTGTCATTGTACATTGTTACTGCACCTTAAGAGCGGGGCGGGATGGCTCAGTGGTTAGAGTACGACTTTACTGGCCTGAAGGTCAGTGGTTCGAACCCGACCTCCGCCTCTCGACTTCACCTGTCCAGGCTTGGACAACCTGGTAGTATCCCAGCTCTCTTGCCTCCCTCAGTGGCATGGCAGTTAGGCACCGAAAGGGTGATACAGCTAAACAAAACTTAAGAATCCGCGATACAGAAGAGTCTAAGGCTGGTCTACGCCGTCATCTGTGGAAGAGTCATCGTTTAACCCATAGGTACCTTACCCTAAAATCCTGGATTAAGTTGCACGTCAACATCCAAAAAGAACACGTCAACAGGAAAATTAACCACCATTCAAACTGAAAATCCTGATTCTCGAAATAATTTATCATCCAGACAGCCTAAATAGCAGCTACAATTCAGTCTGTCCCGCCTTCGTTTTCAACCTCCGGTCATCACGAAATGAGCCATCGACTCAGCCGCATTTCCCAAATTCGTCCTCACTTCAACGCTTTAGGTGTCAGACCGATGTCTTCGTTCACACCCACTTATCTCCTCGTGATCCGCTCTAAAGTAAACTTACCTTTCGTCCTAAGTCATGGCTCTCCAGTCTTAGTCCTTATCATTATAATTTTCTCTTCTTCCACCTACTACAAACACTGTTTCGTGAGATATTCCATGCTCCTTTCTTCCTCCGCAAACATGATTAACTGAGTATTTCAGATGTACGTTATGACAATGCTATTGTTCTGCCTGGAAAAACTAGTGTGCTTTTTTTCTTAAATGTTTGATCTCAATCACTGACTAGTATCCACCGGTCGACGAAGACAAATGTGATGGGAAACGGTCAGGTAGTTGGTCAAGGAGGCATTGATCAAATCGGCGAGCTTGGTGATTGACTAACAAACGTTACAGCATTACTCGAGGAGAGATCATCAGTGGTCAGCTGTGTGAATCCTTGCCCATACCTCTATGCCCCACAAAACATTCTTCCGAGATCTTTAAACGTGCAGGTCTCCGCGATGTGATCAGAAAGTATCACAAGTATCGGTGTTCGTTGATCAGTCATTACCCGTCTACTTGCTTTGGCAAAGCTTATGGGGACGTGTGACCAATTATCTGTAAGCCCATTACTGGTAAAGAGATCAACAACCAAAACTGTTGTAGTCATAGAAAGGCAAATTATTCGGTCATAAGTTCAGACAACCATCGGATGTGTCTACCAGAAGCTGAAGTCCAGACATATGCGGATCACATTGTAGTAAAACATTCTTGGACGCCTTACTCTATATCTGTGATCATTTAGCTGAATATAGATATTATTACCACCTTAGTCATCTTCGCCTATCTTTTAATCTCGCTGCCTGAAAGGTTTTTTTCTAATACTCGAAAATCCTATCAGTTTTAACGTGACATCAGGATGCTTATGTCCCTAGCAGCCTTGTGCAGACATGCGGCAGCACCATACGGTATTTCAAAACCGTAAAATTTGTTTCAGTCCCTAACCAGCGATATAACGTAAACATTGATCGGACGGGGACCAATTAGAATGGAGCACCCTTCTGCTCTAAATCCTAGGTCGAGTGATTCAATTTTGGATACAACAGAACAGGATTGCAATCCAAGAATGCCTATGTCGAATTCGGTGCGAAGAAAGTCTGAAAGATCAGGTATCATGTGGAAACTTTGTGTGAAACGTTGTGTCTCTCCAGTAGATTATAAGTGAGGGATTTCCATTGCTTAGAATTTTCTAAGCAAACCATTCATTTATCAAATGGGTAAGTCTCACACATTAGACATGTTTACACTGTGTGAATGTCCAATGATTGGCTTTAGAATCCCGTGGTAAATCAGCTCTTGGTGGTTTACACATCAGCACATTGCAGATTGACGTCCGGATCAACAACAATTCCGGGTCTTGAACAATCAGTCTTTCTGGGATTCGGTTATCTCTGGTTCTGTAGTTTCCCGATTGGAGAGTGGGTCATAAATGTCTAAATGGGTGGCCCACAAATTAAGAAGTCGATACCAATTCAGGATAAGTAGCTTTCATTACTAATTGCTGTCGCTGCGTTTAATGCATTCACCTGCTTAGTAGGTATTGCGGTTTCTGGTGACTGACACACGAGAGGCCAATAAAAAGTGTCGTCAACGTCTGTGACCGAATCAACTGGTCTTCAAACATTAACCAGATGTTTATTTTGATTCACTTCATTGATATGCGTACCGTAGATTAATCCAGCTATAAGGAAACACCTACACAGTGCTCGTCAACCACTTAGCACAGACTAGCCCGCCATGAGAAGGGAATTTCTTCAGGATAACTCCAAAAACTTAGCGCTGATTACAAACTTGCAAAACCGTATAAACACTGGATGGAACAGACCAGCTACTGTAAATTAATTCGCATGAGGATACGATGGGACTTTTTGAGCCAGCTGTTCTTTCAGTTAAAATGTCAATTTAAAGGAATGTGAGGAAGGGTCTGTTCCCTATAGTGAAAATAATGAAAAATCGGTGACTTACTCAGAATGATGGGACCCAGTAAAGCTACGAGTCTGCGTCTCAGATCTAGTTTGCTGCGCTTTAATGTGCGATGGTTTCTCGCTCCCGTCTTCCAGAACTGTTTGCTTATCTGATCTTTGCGTGTGGACTTTTGGGGGAACAATAAAGATGGATTTGTAGCCACTGTCACGAAATGACTTCCGAAGGCGTGTGTTGATCCGATCAAGCATGGTGTGTTCGAGGCGTTGTGATGCAGACTGAGCAGTAGTTCAGTGATCGCTGTTCTGCATTGGGTTGAGCATCACTTGGCGTCACGTGGTGTGAATCGCCAATCGAATCACGCTCAGGAAGGGTCAACTCAAAATGAGGTCGGTGGACATGGTGGAGGAGGAGGCAACATCACGCACGTGATGCGTCACATGAGCGCTGAAAGGATGCGCAGCATCAGACGAATGAAGCAACAGGTTACACAGCTAAGGCTAATACATAAAACTGCTCGCACAAGAGTGAATGTTTGAGGCTTTACAGTTATAAGACGCTTCAATAATGCACTTTGTTAGTGACCACCCAATTCGACAGTGCAGTTTTACGAAGCATGTGCGTATATTCTGCTAATAAAGTCGTTGGTATAACGAAACTTTTTCGCAACAAATTCCTTCGTGTGTATAGCAGTTGGGATAGCTGGTTGATAAAACTGGCGAACCTGAGACCAGCCAAAGTTCGTTTTAGATCAAACACGTTGATAAGACACGTTTCTTGCAAACAAGTTCATCAATAACTTGAATTTCCCGACCTGATTTCCGATCAGGCCGAACGATGCCGTATCCGAGGTTTCGCAAGTGTCTACTGGATTCCACAATATCTCTATAGTATGGTGGAATTTCCCTCGAAGAAAAACTGGCATCTTATCGGAAAAGACCACCTTTCAGGTAAGACGAACTGGGGTAGACTCAAAATGAAGTAGTCGTGAACAACGAAACGTCTTAAACATCTTACGGCATGCATTAGGGTAATTCTGATCACCACCTTTTAGCTCACTGTTTTATACACAAAACCCTGGTCTAAGTATGTCCGGTTATGGTTTGGTCGGTCGTATCTAAAGCACAGATCCCCTCGATTAGAAGCGATGTAGAATACACTTTGGCAGACACTAGGCTATAGACAACGAATCTGCTAATTTTCTCATAAATGTGAGGAACTTCTATCGTACCTTGATACGAGTTCGTAGAACGGTGCCACATTGTGTTTGATATCAAACAAGTTTGCCTCAACTAAATATTCGAATAGTTTTTACTTCAAGTTTTCCTGGAGAATCCTTCACATGCTAACAGGCAACAGAGATGAAAATTAACACAAAGTTGAGCTGAGTCCACGCAGTACGCCCGCACTCGGTAAGTATTATCTGTCTCACTGGCAGCGAAAAAAGACACAGTAAAATAAGTCTAAAATGATGAACTCGTTGACAGTTGGTATGCTATGGTTATTGACTTTATTCGGAGAAGTCCCCTTGAATGGGCCAGTGAGGACAGCGTCCTGTGCCGGGTGAAATCTTAATGTGGACATCCGCTTTCTAAATGTGATTCGAGGGATCATATGAAGCGATATGTTTCAAGAAGTGGTTAGAAGATTCTCGTTAGACCAAAGACAAATCAGCAAATTGAAGCACTTTCCTTTGATTCATCTATTTGAGGCTAGGGTGACCCCGCCCTGTATCTATCTTACTCAGACTTAAAAACAGGTTGACTTTATTCTTGTAATAAGCGAAATAAAACTTTCCTCTTTTGTCTTCATAGAAGATTCTCAATCTACTGAACACTCTTCTGTTCCACGGTTGGCGAAAAAGGAGTCCAAATACCAATAAATGAGTTGCAATAATATCTGCAATGTACAACGAGCCGACAGTCAGTTTCGTTGGGTTTGAGAGGACGAAACTAAACGTACACACCGAACAGTTCACTTGGTGCAAGTCCGTTCATCCCTTCTACTTGTGAATCACTTGTGAATCAAACAACTGGTTGAATTTCGGGGACCAGGCCCACCCGAGTAGTCTGTTTGAGGGTGAGAACTTTACTATTTCCTATGGAAAATAAGTTGATATTTTTGACAACGTCTAAATAAAAGATATTGAAACGAAAGAGGTTTTTGCTCGGACCGTTTGTCTGCTTCATTTCAGAATGTAGTATAAGTAGCACTCGCTCAAATAGTCGTAAAACGGTCATTTGATGCATCCGTAATTATGTCAGCATAAACTTATATCGAGTTGTGATAACCGTATGTCGGAACGGGTGTTCACCTACTTGCAATTTACGAGTAGCATAAAGTGTTGGTAAGTTTCGCGTCTTTCGCAAGAGGGCTATCGACCTCTATTGGGACCTAATTAAATACACTACTCAAAACGTTGCTGAATTTCTTCGATTGCACGCGAGTGGTCATATCTGGTGTTTCGGTTCTTTAGGTCCCATCAATCTTACTAACAAACTGAACCCAAAGTGCATCCCCCGCGAAATACACTTTGTTTTTAACGGGAGACTCAACAAAATCCTAGCTGATCCTCTTATTCATGACATTCTTCAGCGGATCGCGTTGAAAAAGTTCACTTCATATTTCAGCTGGTATGATAGTCAAGATACCGAATTATGTTTTTCCATGGAGGAAGCTAGTCACAAGTTCACTGGAAACACTTCGACATCCCATGACCGGTATCACCGTTCCCATTGCTAATCAGTTTGCCGTGATTCCCGACTTTGCGTCAACCTTATCGTTCTCTTTGGACCCCTATTGTACTAAATAGAATAAAGCCTGTCTTGGACCGTCGAAGAATTTTCAGTAACCGTGTGAGTAATTTGATTAATGAGAATTCACTGCGATACTCAAATATATTCCCACTGAATCTCTCGTTTGTGAGATTCTCCAGATGAGTGTACTGCACAAAGACCGCTTCACATTTCAACTGATACCATACTTCAGATGTCGCAACATATTTTTAGGAATGAACATGCTACTCAAATTATTGTTTTGGATAGCGCAAAAGAGATATAACTGAATTCTGTGATGAGTTTGGGTGATGAGTTTTGGGTTGTTACCGATTCGATTTGCAACAAAAAGTGTTGTGGACGCTGAAGACACAAACAAATGAGATTCTAAGCTGGATTAGACTACTCCCGCCGTATAAGAATCTTTGTTTTTGCACGTTTTAATTATCGGTATAATCCACCCCTTGGCTGAGAATGTAGTTATCAGCACATGACAATGCACACTCAGTTATACTTTGGATCAAACGGATTGCACTTACATGGCATTGTGCAGGTTTTGGTGACCTTGCGGGTAGTCTAATCCATGGCATCTTTATCAAAGTAATTCACACTACACTTATGCAAAATTAGCAACCACTGTTTTACTTCGAGGCAGCAGCAAGTTTTTCTAACTGTCGCTACCATGGTTACAGCATTTTTCAAGTCGTCAAAACTTCTATTAGACGAGAAACTGTAACTGCAACGGCGTACAATCAAACACTCCGGAGGCAGGGCTTTCTGGTCAGCAATCACCAAGGCATTCAGAGGAAATTACTTTGGTTGAGTTGGACATTTTGTAAGCGAGCGGCCCATATTGGCTATCAACAGTATCAACAAAGCTACCTCCAGGTGATAACACGTAGGAAGTCCTGTGCCACCATTGCTGTTGAAGAAAGATGTAGACTATTTACTGATTACTCTTACAAGCAGTGCACTGGTTGAACAGTGTAACGTGATGTCGTTTTGACCAAAGTGAACCGTCTGTATTGGTTTGGTTATATAGAGAGTTCTGCCCATCCAACTGGAGTATCAAGTAGAACCCTATAGTATCACAGCTCCTTTCATCCCACTACGATCCTGTGGCGCTTTTGCGCCGACTAGAATAACTAAACTAAATTAACCACCACTTAAGAGCCCAAGGCAACAATTTAGTTATTGAATACAACAGATATCAGTCATAACTGGGATCATTCTTTTGTGTGATGAGTTCAGTAATCATTTTAATCTTTCAATATTAAGGATGGGCGCCGGATTTTCGGACATTTTGGCCGGACGTCAGTTGAGAGAAATCAAATTTTATTTCCAGCATCGTCAGCCTACTCTGATTTCTAAGAATAAAACAATCCTTTTTGGGTTTTGTATATCACTTTTGAAATAGGTTGGCTGTTTTTCTCCGCAATCAAGTTGCACCCTTGAGGGGGCGGCATAAACTCATTATTTTAGGGTGATCCTCAAAGAGTGCCCACTTCTTTTAGTGCCTCAAAATTTTCGGATCATGCTGAAGCATTTAAAGAAGAATTATCATCTGTCCATTTTAGAAACTGCTTCAGTGTTGATACTAGGTCAGAAAATGCTGAAGATTTTTTTGTTTCGGAACAAAAGATGTGTTTTCAAATTCATGAAACTAATTGCAAAGATCAGGCGAGAACCAGTTGCCAAACTCTCCATACCTTCTCCCGTTGTCACGCTGAATTGCTATTTACGATCCAGATATGAATGAAATTTTGTTCCGGTCTTTGGTGCTGAACGGTCATTAGGACACATGTTTGTAAACAGCTAACTCCTTAGCTTGACAACTGCTCGAGCATTAGCCTTTGAAGTGAAGGCGGTGTACTATCAACCACCTCACGAATGCGACCAGAGCTATTCGATAAATGCACCTAACAAAACTGGCTGTCGACGTTCACTGAAATGATATACCAACTTAGTTTGCTGGTGAGTATTTATTATAACAGTTACTCATTTGGTATTGGGCTGCGGATAAAGATTGATTGAAATTTGAGAACTGCATCTACGTAGTGAAACAAAGATGAGTTCAATGTTCAGTGAGATACCCTGAGGTCCAACTGAGTCATTGAGCAGTGGTCATATGAAAGGAAACCACACAATGACCTGAATATTGTTTTGATTGGAACACCTATGGATTTTATGTAATATATTCAGATAAAATGTATTATAAAATAGACGTTCACGTTAATTTCAATTGAGTCGTCCGGCAGCATCAACTTACGTTTGTATCTACTTAGTGGCTCTGAAAAATAGGAAAAAATGTGACTGAAAGTGATCCGTCCTGTTTGCAATTTCGCTAATTTCTTGCAATTCCGTTCCAATTGGAACATGAATTTGACGAAGACGCGGGAATTGCACCTACCTGATGAGTCCCAGGAAAAGCGAAACCGGTCGTGGGCTGCTGAAGAATTTTCAGCAACTTTATGAAT